GAGCTGAATTGTTTTCTGAGTCGTCGTCCCCCCCCCCCTTTCTCCCCCCCCTTCTTTCCCCCCCCCCACCCCCTTTTGTGCGTGTGTGTATGATGAGAGGTCCACCATCACAGTGAACTCATTAGCAACCTTTAATTTACAAATTTTTTTTTAATTCGACCAAACTTCGGTCAATCCATTTTCCGTTGACCAAATTTCTTTCAATCAAATTTCCGGTAACCCGAAACTACTGCACCACTTACTTTTTACGTTTACAGACTACAAAGTTTGACCTAGATTAATAAGCAAACACAGTTATTTCCCTTGGTAAGTTGTTGCCAATGACGCGGTCTAGCGTTGGCTAATTTTGTGATTAACTGTCGTTAGTAGCATCTTGAATCGATTCCTTATTCAAGATTGTTATAGCAATGATAGATTTCATTACATATAGACGTCTCTAGAATGACGTAATCTAAATTATTGTCACACAGTTAACACAGTAATGTGTGAATCGTGATAATTATTATTTTTATGATTATGTCCCAATGTTTTGATCAATTCAACATCTGTAGTGTTAATTTGTCAACAACATAATATATAATATTATAATAATAATATACTCATATTTCAATTTCAAAATAATAAGCTTTGAATTATACATATACAATGCAAAGACTCAATGGCAGCTAAGACAAAAGAAATAACAAATGTCCAGCTTTCAGATTTCTTTTCTGCAGTTAGATCAGGCAACTGTAGCAAGGTAAGACTAAGACTGTTATTGTTATATTTTTTATTAGTATTAGTAACATAAATTATAGTATACTATTTAGGCTCCAGATTTTTAAACAATCTTGATCCTTTTCTGTTAAAAGCGACATTATCGGAATTTTGATGAGTCATGAGCTTTCCACATCAAATGAAATTTCTTAATATCTTTCCTCTTGAAACCCAGGTGAAGAGCCTATTAAAGAAAAAGGAGGTTAAAATCAATGCCACTGACCCAACAGACCCATCATGTCCAACAGCACTCATCATTGCCAGCCAGTTAGAGCTCATTGAAATGGTTAAGGTTTTAATGAGAGCCAAACCCACCTCTGCAGATGTTAATGCTGAGACCAAGTCAGGTCGGAGAGCTATATGGTTAGAAGTTTTCTGTTGAGGAATTTTATGATCAGTGTGATGAACAGATTATTTCCTTCATTATTTCCCTCAAAAAAATGTCCAACTACCCAATTCCCTACCCACGAATATTCCTCTTTTCTGTGTGTGTTAACTGCAAGTGCATCAGGGGTGTAAAACTGAAAGAAAAGTATTTTGGTGGTCCAGATTTCAATGAATTACAATAAAAACATTTTATAATTAAAAAAGAGGAATTCTTAGTCTAAGGAAATCGAACAACATCTTTTATCTCAATGTTTTGAATAGGCTCGCTACTTAAATTAACAGGTGGTGGCATCTTTGATAATGCCACCTCAGGAATCTTTAGTTCATATTTGCATTATTTACTAAAATTTGTTTGTCTTAAAACACATCAAAAGAGGTTTACAATATGTAAATGCTGCCTCAAGATTATACATTTATTTTGTTAGACTTGTAGACCTATTGTTTAAAATACTGTTATTTAGTCCTCCAACATATTCCAAAAACCAGATTGCCTAGTTCGTTTGTTTATCAGCTACGTTGACAATGAATCATGTTTATGAAATTAAAAAAATAATAATTTATATAAAACATTTAAAAGTAACAACAATTTCAAAGTGTAATTACAACAAAAATGTTAAACTTTTCATATGTCTGAGGAAGTTTTTATTTTTATTATATAAACCCTAAAGCCAATTCGACAATGGAATATAATAATAAACATAATATATTTAAATCTTTGGAATAAATTATTGACTTATGGATGGAACCCACCACCATAAATAAAGTAATAGGCCTATCAAAGTATCAACATAAAACTTATTGTTCCATTGCTATAGGTCAGTATTTCCTCCTTTTTAATTATAAAATATGTATTTCATTGAATTCTGTCCCGCCAATATAATTTTCATCTTGTTTAACACCACTGATGCCTTTGCAGCTAACAAATAAAATAAAATGTGAAGAATATTTCCATTGTGCAGAGTCATCTCTCAGAAAGGAATTTGCCCTGTGGGGGAGTTTTCTGTGTGTTGAAATTTCATGTGGGGAATTTTCTTATGGGTAAAAAACCATAAAACCGATAAGTGTATACATCAAATTATACATCAACTGCTTAAAGTGACAAAGAAATACATTTATTATGGTGACTATATTTGTAAAAAAAAGTGAATTTGACTTAAATGTCTCTTAATGACTTGCAGTTGACTTCATTGACATCCATTTCAATAACAGACACTTTCTCACTGTCACTTGCTCAACTACTACACTTCATTACACTTCTTTGACAGATATTTCAAGGACTGACATTTTTACCAACAGGGACACTCTGTCGACAAAATTATTTTCATCGACAATAACTGGATATGATGAAGTTTATGTCGATCAAGTTTTGTCTGTCATTGAAGGGTCTGTCCTTGAAGTGTCATGGAAACACACCCCCCCCCCTCTTCCACCCAAAAATCGAAAGTAACCTTGCATTTAAAGAAAGTAATAACCTGTAAATAAATAATGCAGTAATTTATTATAAATTTTGTTGAATTCCTCTTAATGGTAACAAGTTAATTAATACAAGTAATTTAATTTTTAACACAATCCTTCATGATTCTCTTGAACTTATCTTCATTTAATGGTATTTAATTCTATGCATCTATCAAACTGTTTTTCCTCTTTATGACAATGGCTGACTCACAGTGGTTCAAACCTATTTTTAAAAAAACATTTTTTGTGTGCAGGTGGCCAGCAAAAAATGGCAATGTGGAGCTTGCCAAAGTGATTTTAGGAGATAAGAAATGTGAAATCAATTACATTGATAAAGAGACAGGTAAGTAAAATAGAACTTGAGGAGATTTAAATATCTGATCTTTAATTGTGATAATATGTACACAAATATTATTTTTTTATTCAATGCCCCCCATAAAAAGTAATTTTATCAAAATGTGTTTATTAATAGAATAGAATTGAAAAATATTAAATCTAAAACCTGGGAACAAAAGTATATCAACACATTTCTGTTAAAGCTAACAATAAAAATTTCTGTTTAAAATTTTGTGTTTATCTCTTTTAAGGCTGTTCACCGTTGTACAGGGCCATCACCTCCAACTCCGTAGAAGTAGCAACAGAACTTGTGCATGCTGGTGCTGACGTTAACATCAGAAGACTGGGATATGATGTTGGAGCTGAAACACCTCTTATCAAGTAAACAAGTATTTTATAGATTTACTTTGAAAAAATATTTTAATTTAACCTTTTTCCTACATAAATCCTAGGTTCCACAACTCAATCACTGTTATAGATTTTTACTCAATGTCTGTGGAACCAAATAACTCATCTAAATGATGGATGAACAGGTGTGGAGATGCCCCCTTTTACACTGACACAGTCAAGGAAAGGGTTCTACAACTCAACCTTATGGCTGCCAAAATACGGAAGATTTGATGACCCAAGGGTTATATGATTCATTCTCTTGTAAGGTTGAGCCTAAACTTTCATATACACATCACTGGCAAACCTCATCAAGTGGGCGTCACCGTAAATTAAATGATTAATAGCACAGGTTCCAGAGTTTGACCTGTCAAAACCACCTTGGGTATTGGGCACTCTCCAATTAGGTGTTCTATTTCAGGGACCAGGTTGTAGAGTCAGAAGTTAGGGTCTCAACATGAGTCAAGGCTATGTTGGTAGCTTTGTATCAGGCAGTGCTCGGTTTGCATATGCATAATTGAGCTAGTTTCCACCAGGGGTCACTCTTACTCTGTCACCGTGTGATTCGGTATAGCTTTCTAGCCATGTCACCTACCAACCAGCGGTTGAGCCACTCTTCATGAAAGTGGTCTTTTAGCCAGACTTTGACTCCCATTTGTGTCATGGGCCAATTGGGTTGCATCTGAGTTGCACTTTAGGGCATAATCTACTCTCTCTTTCTGCATCACCTCGATGTGACTAGTGACCCATTGAAAGGTTTCCACACCATCATGTGCATGGATGTCATCTACTGTTTCCAGGATAGCTTGAACCATTGTCTACTCCAGCTCCTTTCCACAGCTTCTTCCCACAGTTTTTTTAGCAAACTGTGAGTCAGCGAAGACCACAATGGTCAGGATGCTTTTTCTCTTTGCTAGGCGAAGGCGCACTTGTTTTAGTGCAACCAAAATTGTAGTTTTGTTCTATTTTTCCTCTGGGCCCTGCAATCTCACTTGATGGAGGTAGGTACTCTCTCCCTCCTGGGTACTCTATGATTGAACCATATCTGGCTCGGTTCTCGCTTGCAAAACACGAGCCATCAATAAAAACTTAAACCACTTTGGTCTGTGAAGGCTACAATCATGCTCATGGCCTTCTCTTTCTGGGCATCCTAAGGGCTGACTTTGTCACTGCTGCATTTTCCAGTGACAGACATACATCTGAAAGATGAAAGCATTCATGTGGACCCCGTTTTGAGATCAGACACATTTTTTCCTTGATCTTGAGTATGCGCTTGTTTTTCTCCAATAGTACCTCTCACACTCCCAAGATAAAGAGCTCTTAGAAGAAGACTCTCAGTTAGTGCATGCCAGTTTCTTCACCAGGCACAGTTTCATTGTGGCTTTGGCGCACGGTTGACGTATAATAATATGGTTGTGTAGCTTGACTTTCTGGTCCCTCTTCACTCTCAAATAGATTGGTGTCTTATCCCAATTGAGTCTTTTCCCACTGATAGTTAATTTTACTTCCTGCTTAAGTGCATTCCTGCCATTCATGGAGTGAACAACCATATGGCTTACACCCAAGAGTCATAGTACATCTGTCTCCATATATCATTATTAAAAAAAAATTCTCTTTACAAATTTTGTAACCAATAAATATGTGGTTTTCAGTAAGAATAAGATGGCCGTGGGTGTGAGTCCACTGGTTTTGAAGCTGTCCACCAACATGTAATTTCTTAACATCAGATGGTTGAGCCTTCTTTGGGCAAATATTTTTTTTAAATGCCAATGCCAGGTGTCTATAAACTTTGTAACGTATTTATTTATATTTGCAGTTTATTATCTTCACTTTTTATTCCAGATCAGTACAAATGAACAACATTGACATAAGCAGGCTGCTGATAAACTCATTGTGCAATATTCAAGCCAAAACAGATGATGGATTAAATGCATTACATTTTGCTGTGGCATATAGGTAACATATGAGAAACTCAGTACCACAATGTGCAATGTGTTGGTTGAGATTTTAGAAAAACACCAGCAAAAATGGTAATTTAATACAGTTGAAATAAAAGAAATTTTATATCATAACCATTTTTTAAAAAAGAATATAGAAAAAGAAAATCTGGCTACATGGCAATTTCATGGATAAAACTCAAAGAAAATTATAAGTAGGAAAATTTCAAATGACAAGATCAGTTTTAAAGAAATTTTATTTTGTTGTCTAAGAATTTCTCAATATCGATTCAGAGTCATATGAGTAATAAAAAAATGATAATTGTAATACTGAGACAATTCATAAAGCCCATTGAATTACATTTTAAAATGTATATTTCTATGTCAGGTCATAGTCTTGCAGTCAGCATTTTCAATTCCTTTCCTATTAAAATTATTATACACACTAGATCTAGTGAAACCAGAAATACAATAACAGGAAGGAAAATATCTAGAAAAATTAACTTTCTGGTCAAACCAGATGTCTTTTCAAATTGAAATTGTTATGGGACACCCCCATCTCTTTTTTCCCTTTCCCCCCCCGCTTATCCATTTCAATGTGTATAAATAATATACACTATAAATAATTAACCAGGCGCTATGAGATTACTGAACTGCTGCTGGAAAGCAAGGTAAAAGTGAATGCCAAAAGCAAGCATGGTGTCACAGCTATGACAGTTGCTATTGAACAACATAGCCCATACATGGTACGTCTGCTGATCCAGTTTGGTTACAATCTTGATAGGCCTTATAGGTATGAAAATACGTCTGTGTTGTTGTTTTCACATTCGATTCTCTTGTTTTTACTATTTCTAACTTCCTCTGCATCAGTGCAGTCCCTTGTAGTGGTTCATAGTTAGGGTCATAATTATCAATGTTCTTTTAAAATATAGCAATAAAGGGGAAATAAATGAATTGCTAATGTCACAACAAATATCCCAGTGCAGTGGTACTCAACCAGTTCTCTGCTCTGTGGAGCCCTAAAGGCCTCTTCCCAGGGGCTCCGTAGTGGCTCCAGAAAATAAAAAATAAATTAAACTTTAAAGAAAAAGGTTAGGCCTTAGGGACTCCTCCATAGAAATTGATTCTAAAAGGTTGGGTACCACTGTCTTAGTGTACTGAGTGGATTTAAAATGTGTAAATTTTCTCACCATGTTTGACTCAAAAAATATAAATAAATTGTATATCTATATCTTGATATTTTATAAATATATATTTATATAAATTTGACATAATTAAAATTACAATTTAAAATTTATCAAAGACAATCAACCCATCATGGTATCATTTTTCTTAAGTCTTTATACAATTTGACAAGGATTTGGTTTAAGACTTTAATTTCAGATGATTTTTAGCATCTTGAAAATCTCACGTCATTCTTCAATTTCAGCTGGGGTGAGTCACCATTAGAGCAAGCAATAAAACTCCACAGTAATCGAGCCAGCCTCACACTTATTCACTGGGGCTGTAAGCTCATTCGTAAACCAAGGCTTCCTTCTTACTTCTACCTGGCCGTCAACGAGAAACAGTGGGACGTTGCCCAGCTTCTTATCAACATCAATCCTAAGTACCTCCAAGAAAAGTGGCTGAGACAAAGTAAGTGGCCCGTGTCTGTTTATTATGAGCAAGACATGAGGCACCATCTGCTTGAAATGTCTAATAAAGTCTGGACTCTAAAAGAGCTCTGCAGGTCAAAGGTCTTCATGTGTGTAGGCAAATATGCACCCATTAAAATTACCCAGCTGCCCATTCCAGAAAGTGTCAAGGAATATGTAATGTTCAATGAATTTATAAAAGAAAGTTTTTATGAGAAAAAGCCTCTAGATTTTATAGCTTGTCCATATGAATGTCCAACATTTTGTTCTCAGTGGAACTGTTCACCTTTGGATATTACAGTTTCATCAGATTCAGATGTATGTGAAACTGGTTTGTAAATTAAAACAGTAATACAAGGACTATCTTGTTTCTAATTATTATTATATATATTTTTTAAAACTGAAGAACATATTTTGGTATCAAGGACTTTAGGATCAGATAATTGTTTTAAGTACAATGAAGATAACATTACGATTAAAAAAAGTCCTTGATGATTCATTAGCATGTACTGCAATTTTATAAATCCTGCAATTTTATACTGTAATTTTATAAATATTGTAATTTTATAAATATTTCAATTTTATACTGTAATTTTATAAATATTGTAATTTTATAAATATTGCAATTTTATAAATTATTGTAATTTTTAAAGTACTGTAATTTTATAAATATTGCAAATTTATAAATAAAATTTGATAAATACTGCAACTTTATAAATACCCGGTACTGCAATTATATACATACTGCAATTAAATAAATGCCTTCATTAGAAATCCTTAAGAATTCAGCGATACATAAAGTATAGTTAAATTTTTTACAGTTCTTGTCTGTTGACAAAGTCTTAAAATCTTTTTTTCTGACTTTTTAAAAATGTAAATTAATTCTGATCCCCCAGTCACCATCTTTACATAAAAAAGTCCAGTCTCTGTGTGTTGGAGTTACCTCATAGTCATAGTTAGAGCAACTGATATGAGGAGTTCAGAGACACTAAAAAAAAAAAAAATTAACCTAATTTATTTGCATATATTTTAATGTTTTGTAGATTTCACAGTGGTTGAGTTTATAAGTACCTAATAAATATGACGGAGAAAGAGAAAAAAAAAGGAAATAAAAGAATTTTGAAAGCAAAAATATAAATGTTTATACATGTCTTTAATGGGTTGTCTGCATTATTAAGTGATTTTTTAAATAACATCTACAACATCAATTAATACAAAAAGTTCATTTTTATAAACTACTTTATAATATACCAGTACAAACTTTGAAAAAAACAACATTAAAAAAAAAAATATTGAATAATTTTAGAAATAACTGACTTTAGGGGAAACAGCTGTGAGGTTCAAGGAAAATAGCATTCGGCTGGGTTCTTTTTATTATAATGAAAATAAAATTTTAATGTTTAAATTGACTGCCCTTATACTTCATGTTGTAAAATAATTGAAGTTATTAAAATTAAAACTATCTGCAGGATGGACCCAAAAAAATGGCAATTAACCTCAAAAATTAAATATCAAAATAGCGAAACTGAAAAAAAAAATATGGAAGAACACAGAATGGCTGGAGGAAAATTCCAAAACTTGAAATAGTCTTAAATATTTTGGAAGTTATACTTTCATTAAATTATTATATAAAAGAAACTAGCCCCCACCCATCTTTTCAATAACCACGTGAGCAAGGTTGTGATTTACTTTTTTAAAATATGTTTTGGTACGCATATTGAGATTTTAAAAAAAATTTAATTTACACAATATCTAAGAAAAAGTTTCTGATTTTCCCCCATTACTTTGTAAATATAATTAATTTAAAAGAAAAAAAGTCAACTTTTTAAATTTTGGCAAGTTTGAAAAATTACAAGCAATTGAAATGAAACATTTTACAAGGCACAGAGGGAATAATATCTCGCACATCAAATTAGTTATGAGAGTGGTGATTGTCACATTTTTCTTTTACCGTCAACCTATGATGATTGACCTGTCCAGTGTCAGCAACGGTCATGTCAAAAATAATAATACGCAAGTCTTTGTAGAAGTTGCTTGATGTCACTATAGGTGTAAGCATTGCTCAACTTTACAGACGATGACTGGGTCATGTCAAACATAATAATAATCAAGTTTTTGTAGAAGTTGCTTGATGTGACTGTAAATGTGCGCATTGCTTAACTTAACAGACAATAACTGGGCTTGATGTCACTATAAGTGTAAGCATTGCTAAACTTTACAGAGGATGACTGGGTAACAACATGGTAGTACATTATTGATATCATAATTATATCTAAATACAAAAGTTACATTAATATGTGCAAATACAAAGCTTCAACATCACAGAGGCGTTTTCAAGCATGTATAATAATATATACCACTTATCAAATTTTTTTTTAATTGTTGAAAAACAGAAAAAAAAACTGTTTTAAGTTGCTTAATCATCATGGCTAAGAGCTAATAGAGTCAGATGTATTTTTATGGCTTTCTGTGTGAGTCCTGTCACTGTCATCATCATAACTCAGTCCAGAATAGCATATGTAAAAGGGAAAAAAAAAGAAGTAGCAAACGTTTAGTGGCATTTGTGCGGTTCGCAACTTCTTTCCAAAAGTTTGTATGAAAAACTTGAATCCATTTCACCAATTAATAAATCAGGTAGCTCAAGCCCGAGTCAAGTTTCACTGATGTGGATCGCTGCCTTTCGATCACAAGATCTTACAAAAATTAACTACTTATTTTAGGTCTATCTAATTTATTTCTAAAAAGTCGCTCTAATTCAATTTGTCTTGTGCTGCCTGGAAGGAATGGTTAAGTGCTTAATCTACTGGCTTTGACAGTAGGAATATCGGGCTTTACTAAGTGTATTAGAATTATTTTCTTCCTCGTACAGCTCCCGCCTTTCCTCCCCGGCCTCGTGCTGCAGGCTTTGACACTGAAACAAACAAACATCCATGAAAATCGAAACCTTTTCAGTTAGATGCAATAATGCAAATTACTTATTATTAGCTTTTAGGATTCCTTGATGCTGGTTTTATTTAATACTTTACCAAGGAATGTTAATAGCTACTTTACCAGCAACATTTGACCCCTTAGTTTTTAATTAGATGCAATGGATAGATCAGATCTAAGATCTAAGGGGCACTTTACAAAACAATGTGAAAAAATAATGTGTGTCAATAATGGCTGTCCCTGTAAAATAAGGTACATATGTAAGACTGACCAATTTAAAATATATCACAAAAGACAGTTAAAAAAAATAATGACCCCAAGACGACTGTACAACTATATCATTGTGGCTGTGCTTGTTCATGTCTGCTGCCATTCTACATATTATTTACCAGGCTTTCTATCACATAATCTGTTGCCTCTGCACGACTCTACATACCTGTTGCCCCGCCTGGGGGTTTGTTAAGGGCTAGCAACCGCCGAGGGTTCTGTTTACAACCAGTTCGTCCCATTAGATGGTCCTTCCATCCATCCTCCCCAGCTGATATATTCTCATGGCACAGTGGACAATGATTCGTTCCTGATTTGGATGCTGCATAAAAAAAAATCAACAATGGATTATTAGGTGATACAGAAGTTCCAACTATGTTACCCAAGTTTGAGTAAAAATAGGAAGTTTAGAAATAAAAAAAAAAAAAATTATTATATTCTTCTATGTAGAGGTAAAGAAATATGATAGCATAGGATATCATGATGATAAATAAAAAATATTGCAACTATTATATAGTTTAAGTAATAAATTTTATGAGAAAGTACAAGCTACAGACAATGACATTGAACCAGAGCCAGAAGACTAAATTACTGGTGAATACTGAAAGGCAATAGAAAAAAATTAAATCAGATTAACAAACCAGTGCTAAATGAATCAGATTTTCTAATGGGGCATTGTAAGATATGCTTACGGGTACAAGATTTCTCTGCCACATGCTGGTCATACTCAGATTTGGTGATCGCTTCTGAGCATCTGGGGCATTTACTGAAATTTGATTTGGCATCACATTCACTCAGGACATGGTCAGTGTAGGTGGCTATTTCAACAACCTGGTGTCAAGACATTTCAATAATTTTTACTTCAAAGTTAATCAATCTAAGCAGATGGGATTTACACATGTCAAACTGAAAGAGAAAATGTGCTTCACTAATTCTTTAGTTTTATTATATTTTATATTATTTTTAAAAAACAATATATATTTAGTTTAATAATTTTTGCATATTCTTGATGTTACATTTTGTGTTTTGGTGTGTGTTTTTAATTGTAACATTTTTCCCCATTTAAAATAATTATCCCCTAACAGTATGTAAAAAAAAAAAAAAACAAACAATAAAAACTTTAAAAAAGAAAAAAAAAAAAAAAAAAAAAATTTTTGGTGTGTTTTTTTAATTTTAAAATTTTTCCCCATTTAAAAAAATTAACCCCTAAAAAAAAAAAAAAAAAAAAAAAAACAAACCAGGAAGACTTTAAAAAAGCAAAAAAAAAAAAAAAAAAAACAGAAAATTGCAACAACCTGTTTGCAGTTGGTGCAGCGTTTCAACATCGGACAATTCTTCCAGTAGTGAATGTCTAGACCTTCCTCTGTAAAACTTTCATTTCTCTCACCACAGAAAATGCAGATGCTTGGAAAATAATAGAGTAGAGTTAATAAAATGTATAAATATTTTTACACATGCTTGTCTTTTCCATTATATTTTAATGCATTGCTGATTTTATTTAAATGTACATTTTGTTTTTACTTCCGTATAGTTGGATTTATAATATTTTTGGCACGTTTTGGCATCCATTTTCAAATAATGAGCAAAATCCTATCTCCTCTCTTTAAGATGGAAACACTCTTAATTGAATCCTTGCAATCCAGGTCAAGCCTATTTACTGTTTTTGACCAGTGCATAAGTGGTTTGGACACAATGAAGCCTTACTATTATTAAAAAAGTTGCATCCATGTTATTTAAACATATTGCGCTCAACCAAAGACCATGGTGGGTAACTCACTTATCAACAGTAAACATGGAGGCATCATCATCATCCTTTGAAGTTTTTGCCTTGCTCTTTGGTTTGGAGGATTCTGTTTTTTTCTGTTAAAAGTGTACGACACTTACTTAAAGCAAAGTTAATGGCTTACACAACAGGTGAAGCAACATTTTTTTAAAAATCTAGTGAGAATTTCATTGATAATAAATTATCCATGTTTAAAAAAAAAAAATTAATGATGCAATGCTAAGGTTATTTTTTAATTTGAAAAATTTTTATGGTAATATTCAATTCTGATACAATTGCTTTTAAATAAAATAATGTTTAACTCAATTCTTTTGCTTCTTAATGAGGTTTATAAAAAAATGAAAAGACAAAAATGAGGGCACACATTTTTATATGCAACTAATAAAATTTTAAAAAACTAGGCAGATTGAAAAACAACAAAAGAAGATAGAAATAGCTAGAACTTATTCACCAAGTTCACATTTGAAACTTACATCTGACTGAAAGTTTTACAGCACTGAATGCCATCCACTATTTTAAAAGTGTAGTTTTCATTTCGGGGTGTATTATAGCGATTGTTTGCAGCTAATAATGAGCCATGAAATATGGTACTTAAGCATAAGAAATTTTTAAAATTTATGATAAATAAATGAATACTTTGAAAACAGTAAATGAAAACTAGGAGGCCATCCCTTTAGCCAAGAACTTCTGGACTGGCCATACCTTCGGTACTACAGCTTTCTTGGCTGGTTCTTTCTTTGAAGCGTCTACAGGCTGGAAAAAATATTAATGTGTGCAAGAAGCTTTTAAAATGCCTTTAAAAAACTAATTGAAGCTCATTGTGAGGTTAAGGTTCACAGCACACACTAGATCTACGTAAACGTTTTGAAGTGTGTTCATGATGTAAGGGGAAAAGAAAGGTGATTATGATGAGATAATGTCTGACAATGGAGATATTTGTCTGGGATGGATGAAAATGTGCTCAGCTGTTACTTCTTAATAGTTTTACAATGGAAATTTAATATTTTCTGACATGTATAAAGTTGTCTAAAAATTTGTATTATTATTATTTTATATTCAATTTGAATTTTAAACTTTAAAAACTTAAAGAAACAACTGTATATAGTAAAAATAACTTATATATTGTTTTTTTATACTAGTAGCACTAAGGAAAATGTTTCTGTCCAGGAGTCATAAGAATAGTAACATGAAGAGCTGGGGAAAGCATATCCTTTTTTGTCATAACTTAGCTTAAAAAAAAAATAATTAAAAAAAAGTAATTTCAGTTGTTTTAAGTTGGATCAATAATATAACAATCTCTATCAAACAATAAATTATTTTGAAAAAAAAAAAAACCATATAGAGAGAAAAAAATAATGACACAAAAATTAATTAACAGGCTCATCCAATGCATTTAGAGATTGTAATATTTAACAAACATTATTATTTACTTTTTCTATAAACGTATTATTATTATTATTATTACTTCAAACTATTTTTTGTATAGCAAATCAACTAGATATTTTTTCAATTTGCTATTGTTAGTTTTTAAAGAATAGAGCTCTAGAGGTCAAAAAGTAAACTGAGAAATAACAAGAGAAAGAAATGTTAACGCACACGCCATTGGGCTAAAAAAAAAAAGGAAAGCTTTTTTTTTTTAATTTTAGTTTTCTCAGGTGTATATTGTAAATTAAATGCAAATCATAAACTCTGAACTAAGTCAGTCAATCTAATGAGGAAAACATTTTTTAAAAATTACAGTTATTAAAAATTCTTACATCAGAACTCCTGTCACTTCGTAGCTTTAATAAATTAAGTTTAACATTGCATAAAATAAATACATTAGAGTTGTTCATCATTACAGCAATAAGAGACATTATTTAAGAATACAAGAAAAAATTTGCAAGTGAGAAAATTTTTAAAGAGTAAGCATGATCCTTGTATATAAATGATAATTTAATATGTGAAGAGATATGTTGGTGGTAATGTACATTGTTAATGGTCCATAAGCATTTTTTCCTGTAAACTTTAAGGAAATTATGTGAAAAAAAGTATGGGAAAATCTGAAAAAAATAAAGACATAATGAAAAAAAGGTGTCGGCAAGAAGCCTTCTTTAGTGAACAAACAACGAGTACCACAAATATTAAAATTAAAATAAACACTGAAATGTAGTATTTGAGAGGAAAGCAAGAGGAATGTAATAGGCCATTAATAGAGTTAATATCAGCAGAAGGGGAAGAAAGAGAGGAAAAGTAAGTCCATGGTGATTGGCTGTAACAAGGAGGGGGAGGAGAAAAGATCTAACATATGAAGGAGAGCAAGACATTGATGTCATATGTTGTCAAGGTCCCTTAGGTGTGTATCAGTCTGTTCTCTAAATTTACGATGGCAGGCTTGTTAGAACAGGACACAATAGTGGTGATGGCCAAGTCTTTGGAGCATTTGTTGTCTTTTTTTCTTCTTCAGGTTTTCCATATCTTTGTTTCACATATTTCCTTCTTCCTGATCTGATTGGGGTTCTCTCCTCCCCACTTCCTTTCTATTATGCCCCCTTATTATAATGTAGCTTTAACTCTTAAGAGTCCAGTAAAATAAGTTTTGATATAAATTTAAGTGTAATGTTTTCTACTTTGGCCTGGATAGCACATTTCCTGGCACAGTTTGATGAGCCATCTTGCTCACCACCCAGGTGTGCATTGTGGATTCCTCTGTATCATAGGCTGATTAGAAACTTATAAATATGAAATGTACTTATAGTGATATAATGGATGCAGAATTTTCAAGAGAACAATTTTTATTTAATCTTTTTGAATTTACAATAACATAAACTGAATCAGATGTAGTTTAAATTACACATGCTATATGTAAAATCTTTACAAATTATATCAAACATTTCTTTTAAAATGTATGAAAAACTATGTTTCTAAAATTACTAAATACATTAACTTTTTTCTCTCCACAAATTATAAAGTTATTTACTTGTGTATGTGCTTACCACATTTTATAATCATATTCAATATATATATGGAATTTTGAAACACTTTGGTAGAGCTAAAACTACAGAAAGTCCAAAAGAGTTTTGCTGATATAGATATAATAAAATGATTTTTTAAAACTGAAATGTGTGTGTATATATATATATATATATATATATATATATATATATATATATATATATATATAAAATTATATATGACATTTGATAAAAAAAACCTCTGAGCTGATAATGTTACTTGAATAAAAAATAAATAAAAGAGATTTTCTGATATATATATAATAAAAAGATTTTTTAAAACTAAAATGTGTGTGTATATATATATATATATATATATATATATATATATATATATATATATATATATATAAAATTATATCTGACATTTGATGGAAAAAACCTCTGAGCTGATGATGTTACTTGAATAAGAAATAAACTCTGGGAATAGCTACCATATTTAAGAATTACAAGTCTTTGACATCATATAACTGCTCCGTTATTTCATTTTTAACAGAACATTTTTAAATGATACTTTAGCATTATTTAATATTCCAAACTTGCTAGTTTATTGGTATTATTATGCCCCTGTGTAATAGATTTTTTATTGCATCTTCTGAAACAAGTAGAAAAAAAAGGAACTAGAAAAATCTTGTATGACAGCCAGGAAATTATTGTGTGAATGATTAAATTTAAATGTCATCTATTTATATATATATATAAAAAAAAAGCCCTGTTGTTGCACTAAGTATTAGTATTGATGGAAATATCATTCACTACGGTGTCTTGTGTTTTTTAATCGCTGGTTTGAATTGGAAGGGGATCTTTAAAAGGAGCTTTACAATGAAGTTTGGTTTTTATCAATAAATTTCTGGTGTACATTCATGTGTTCTAAAAAACAAATGAGACAACTGGGTACTTTGGATGACCAGAGGTGGAGATCATACACAAACATTTAACATATTTTTCTAAATATCTTAATGTTCTCCTGTAATAAACGCCAAGAAGAGAGCAACATTGTATTAACCACTGCTTGTTTAAAATGGTTTGCTTTACAAAATAATGAAACAAAATTTTGAAAAATAAAGAATGGACTCGGTGATATGTTTACTTACAGGTTTGACAGAATTCATCTCACGGAGCTGCTGCAGTTGTTTCTGTAAGGCATCAATTTCTGCCTGTTTCTTCTGTTCCTCTTCCGTCTTTTGTTTCTATTGTATAATACAGTGAATGGGAAACGAAAATGATTTACAAGTTTATGAAAAACTTTGTTATTAAGTATTTGAAATAAAAAGGGAAATGCTATATATTTTGGATAAACTTATACAATAAATTGTTGTTGATTTTGTCCATAAACTGCGTCATGTGCATCAATGAGGACTACATTTTTAAAAATATTGCATTTATTGAAAACTCCGGAGCTCAAGAATGATGTTCAAATAGTAACTCATTTCTAAACAAAGAAATGAAAATAATAACTAAAATTCGACATGGGGGTGTTAATTTACCACAATTTTGCATAGCACTGCATGCAATGGGAAAGCTATGAATTTTTACAGATTCATAGCTCTCCCATTGCATGCAGCATTATGTAAATTGTGGTAAATTAAATCCAACCGGTCAACCTATTCAACTCAACTCATCATCTTGCCCTGGTGGCTTCCCATCTACTTGGTCAAACTATTCCACTGACCTTAATGTCTTGTCTTGATGGCTTCCCGTCTACTTGGTCAAAGTATTCAAACAGCTGACGCCATAATGTGTTTTTTCTTGTCTTGTCATCATCTAAGGAATTTATCAAATGGGTTTTTTTTTCTTTAAAGTTGGAATTATTTATTAAAACTAATACTAGAAATAGTAAATAATGACCAAAAATTGTATGATGTGGAAGTTTCCATATTTAAAAAAAAGGAAAATTGAAAAGGACGATAAAATCTATGAACATATCTTTTAAAAATTTTTTTAAAAAAAGGTAACGGGACTAATTTTCGACAGGTACAGAAAATAAGGGCTATTTAGGCCCCCAGCAGATCAAAGACAAATTAGTTCAATGTCTATTGTACAGCAACCTACCAGCAGGGAGATAATCTTTGACGGGTTGTCCATGGTTCTTGTACATGAGCTTAATGAGCCTTTCAATGACCTCCCTTACTTCTCCAGCATTGTGGTTCAAACCTTCCACGTTAAACTTCATCACGTTGTCCATTGTCAGTCCACTTTAAGCAACATAATAAAAGAAACCTCAATTATTAGTGTACACAACAGGCTTATGTCTTTTTTTTTATGTCTCTCTTACTTATTGAATGGACAAGGCCTGTGTCACGTCCCACACTATTAGACTCAAGGCAAGGAATTTTCTGACATGTCGAAATGAGACAAAAGGAGGCTCATTGATGCTACCGACTTCTTCTTACGGTATAGACTGGTATTGACATGACAATGGTATAGACTGGTATTGACATGACAATGGTATAGACTGGTATTGACATGACAATGGTATAGACTGGTATTGACATGACAATGGTATAGACTGGTATTGACATGACAATGGTATAGACTGGTATTGACATGACAATGGTATAGACTGGTATTGACATGACAATGGTATAGACTGGTATTGACATGACAATGGTATAGACTGGTATTGACATGACAATAGTATAGACTGGTATTGACATGACAATAGTATAGACTGGTATTGACATGACAATGGTATAGACTGGTATTGACATGACAATGGTATAGACTGGTATTGACATGACAATGGTATAGACTGGTATTGACATGACAATAGTATAGAAGTATAGACCCCAAAGTTTTAAAAGTGCTCTAAATGAGAAATAAAAGTTTTACTCTGACCAGGTGACATAATGATGTCCCCCTAACTAACATTTCAGACACCTGACAAGCTAAAGAATTACATAAAATGAAGAGAAGAACTGATATACCTAACTTATAAAGTACTGATATTCCTAACTTTTAAAGTACTGATATTCCTAATTTATAAAGTACTGATTTTCCTAACTTTTAAAGTACTGATATACCTAACTTATAAAGTACTGATATTCCTATCTTATAAAGTACTGATATTCCTAACAATAAAATACTGATATCCCCAAACTAACATTTCAGACACCTAACCTGCCAGAGATTTACATAAAATAAAGTACTGCTATCCCTAATTGATAAATTACCCATATTCCTAACTAACATTTCAGACACCTTTATTTGACAAACTGGGTCCATCTAAATAAAATGAAAATTATTACAAGTTCTTGGTCACATTGCTTTTAGAGCTTGGCTGTTCTCTCATTATGGATTAGGAACATCTCGATATAAAAATTTACTAGCCCTCTCTCACCCTCTGCACTTTGATACTTGGTATTCTTTTTTTTTCACAAAGGGCCTGGGATTAATTTTTTTTTCAATAGCAGACTTGTTTGAGTCTAGGTGAGCATCATGCCATTCACATATTTTTTTTTTCTCATCAGAACAAACTTATAAATGGTCCGCAAAGGCTTAAAGATGCATATGAATACAAATATTGCTGAAATCCTGTCTCCAGGAATCGCTGTCTTTTGTAAACAGATAAAGTGTTCAGTGTTGGAATGATGTTTTGACACCAGCCATTTTGACTGCAGATTGCTGACTCACTTTTTAAGACCAAATTTCTGGTAGAGTGACTCGACCAACTCACAGCGGCTTTGTGCATGTCTTGGCCCCAGGGTCAACTTGAAAGGCTTGACACATTCATGGGCCAGTGTCTGTGTGGTCTGTGCAGTTGACAAAATTCAGTGAAATTCAAATAAATATTTGTTTTAGAAACATTTAAAGAGTCAAGGTGAAAATGTAAAAATGATAGCTTCATTGTGGCTCATGAAACCCACATAATAAACACTCAAAAATAAAATAAACTCAAATAAGATTACTATTGGGCCAGGGTGTATCCCAGTGGGGGATATCCATGCATTTTAACGCCCATGTAACTTATAAATACATAAATATATATATAAAACTATACAGAATCAAGATATAGATTTTTTAATAGCAGCTTACATGTTCAATTTTATTTTTGTGCAAACACTAGCATTTTTTTTCTTCTAACCTTTCACTTGCTTTCCTTTTTTTGTCTGCCTGCATTTCATTTTTAGTTCCTTTCTGTCACATTGGCCCATTATTATTATTTTTGTTTGTTCCCTGGAAATATTTGTGCTCCTGTCATTTTTGTATGTCAATAACAAATATGAGTTACCTTGACCTCGGGAAAACTGGCCATGTCCATGATAAAACTCTTAGCATCGTCTCTGTTCCTAACTGCTGTGTCTCCTGCCTTGTGGAACAAGTTCGGCACACTCCTCTCTACAGCATTGGACACATCAGCTTTACCCAACCTGGGCCAGACAGACAGTTAAAGCCATTAAGTTTAAGTGTTCATATAGTGCTCTCTTCAAAGGTTATATGGATACTGTGTAAACGCAACTGATGATGCTCCACAACACGTCAGAAGTGGGCTCAAATAGATAAATAGATTTTCTATGAACAGATGCGTTTCTTGTCTATATTTTCTTTTAAAGCTTGGAACCAAAGAAAATACTTGAACATAATAATGAACTTACTTAAGGACTTCAACAAAATGAGTTTTTATCGGTTTTCATGATGTTTAACACTTTACACCACAGTTAGACCAGTCAGACCCCGGTTAGAACACAGTTAGACCAATCAGACCCCGGTTAGAACACAGTTAGACCAATCAGACCCCGGTTAGAACACAGTTAGACCAATCAGACCCCGGTTAGATCACAGTTAGACCAATCAGACCCCGGTTAGACCATAGTTTGACCAATCAGACCCCGGTTAGACCAGTTAGACCAATCAGACCCCGGTTAGACCACAGTTAGACCAATCAGACCCCAGTTAGACCAATAAGACCCAGGTTAGACCAATCAGACCCCGATTAGACCACAGTTAGATCAATCAAACCCTTGTTAGACCACAGTTAGACCAATCAGACCCCAGTTAGACCAATCAGATTACAGTTAGACCATGGTTATACCACATTTAGACCAGTCAGACCACAATTAGACCACAGAATGACTTACTTATGTTTGGAAATAAATTCCGTGAGAAGCATACGAAGCAGGTTGAGGGCTGCTTTGAAAACCTTTCAAACAGTGAGATACAATGGATTTAACATAAACCATCAGCATGTAAAAAGTAATCAAATTCAAACATTTATTTGAAATTTTATATAAGGATTCTGGAAAGATTTCGACTTTAAATTAAAATTTGCCTCAAACTATGGTTAAAAAGTATTTTTAATTTTATTTAAAATGTCTTACAGCATAAACTTTATCATCTATACCACGCTTGACCAAGAAGATAGCTGCTCTCATCATTGACTTGGCCTCTTCCTTATTTCCTGTTTGCATTTGCTGCATCTGGTGGTGCACAGCCGTTAAGGCATCTTCTCTGTAGGACCACGTTTTTGAGTAGGCTTTGGATACCTACATTTTTAAATAACTTTTTTTTAAAATACTATTTAAGCAAATGAAACAAATAATTTATCAGCTTGACAAAAAAACATCAAATACAGAATTGATTTTTTTTGCATTAAAAAAAATGATTTAGAATGATTTAATGAATGAGGACCATATACATGGAATATAAACCAATATTTTATTTTCCGTACTGAAGCAGAATAGATATTTTTTTTTTTAAATTCTTTTTTATGTCAGATTCTCTAATGTGTTATTTCCTTACCAAAGAGAGACCAAAAATGTCTATGGCAGTTGATGCTTCTCTCAAATCAACCTCTGACATTGGTTCAGCTTCTGTGTAAGGCAATAATAAAAATGCAAATAAAATTTACTATCTATTTTTTTTTTTAAATTAAATTTCTTTTTTCTTTTAAGAATGCTTTTTTTACTTTATTTCCAATCTGTGTACTTTTTCTGCTTTTATTTTCCTCATTTGGATAGCATATGTTTTACAAACATAAACTTCAATGTAATATAACTAGATATTTGAATTATATAACTTAATGTATTAAAAAAGAGAGGTATAATGTGTGTAAATATTTATTTGGTAATCAACATCTATACTTGTAAGAGAATAATATATTTCATAAAATATTTAAAATTAAAATTTAGAAGTTAATTTTGTTTTTCTTACCTTGATTAAAGTCTGGATCTGGTGGCAACTCTTCTTCCACACTGACAATCCTGAAAATGAAATAAAAACTTTCATCTGTATTTAAAAACTTAGGACAAAACTTATCTTGTGTAAAACAAAAATAAAAATATTAAAGAAAAGGGAAAAAAAAAAAATTGCTGTATCCTAAAATTTGTAAAAATAAAATGTGCGTGGCTAAATTTTGGGGTTAGAAGACTTTTTCGGAACAATAAGTTGTTTTACATTGCAGTTTTACAAGTCACAGAAATATGTTATAGATTTAATTCATGCTAAAAATTGTTTGATTATTCTATAAACTATTAACACTTGTTACAGCTTCATCATAACTTCTGACTACAGGTTACTCAAAATAATTTTGATTAGACAATAAATTGCAGTAGCTATTTAAAGTTATACAGTTTTCTATTCATTGTTTATAATACATAAATGTTCGCCTTCTGTTTTACATTTTTAAATTATCCAGCACTATGCACTGTGTCTTTAACCAAAGAAAAGTCTTAAAGACAAATTTAATCTGAAAACACTTATGATTTTATTTTACAGCACAAAATACATAAAGCAAACAGTTGAATTCTTTGATTTAAATGGGAAAAATCAAATAAATTAAATAATAAAAACAAAAGACTAGACTAAAAATGTAAAAACTTTTAATGCATTTCTAAAGCTTTTCACAGTTTAATGATGGCGTCTAAATAAATTAGAAGGGGAAAAAAAAATCTTTTCTACCATGAACAATGACGCCTAGATGTGTGACGGCAACTAAAACATTAATAAACCACCAAACAATAGATTTTGTTACTCTTTGATTAGGAAGGAAAAAGAAAAAAAGTAAGAAAACTGAACTTAAATAAATAGAATTTCACTCAAAGTTCAAAGTCAATCAAATAACATCTAAATGGGGTAAAAAAACTTGATGTGAGTGGGGAGTGAGGGGGACATTATTTAACAGTACACACTTATCATCATCATCTTCATCTTCTATGATTGGTCTGAAAACAAAAACAATGTGGTTACATGCATCTCAGGACTAGCAGGCTAAATGTGTTCAAGATGTTGACACACATAATTATAAACCAAACCAAATAATTATGCACATACCCTAAAATAAGGACCCGGCGCCCCCCCCCCCCAATCCATTTAGTGCAACTCATTTATATAATCCCTCCTCAATTATAAAGCAGATAAATCACTAAACAAAATTCAAGCATATTAACTGACAGGTTAACAAAAACATGCCTTGTACATGCCTGCATTAAAAAGATGAGATATAATCTGGAATTTAATAATACTTTTGGTTAAGTTGGTAAGCATGATTATGTCACTGCATCTTTTGATATGACTAAAAAAATAATAACTTAAACATTTTTTAAAGGAAAGTAAACTTTTAATCATAAATAATTGTAACTTTGTTTTAAAAAAAAAAAAAAAAAAAAGAAAAGTGCATTTTTTTTATAAGACGTAAAAAAAAAATAACTTAAAAATTTTTTAAAAGAAAATAAAATTTTAAACAAAAAAAATTGTAACCTTTTTTTAAAAAAAAAAAAAAAAAAAAGAAAAGTGCATTTTTTTTATAAGACGCTTTTAAGATGCATAACATTTAATAATAACTTTAGAAAGAGAGTAAAATAATAAGTCAATTCTAATAACACACAAGACTCGTTTAAAATGTATCTGAAAAAATAAATGCAAAAAAAACACCTCAGCTCATCACACATTTGGAATATACAGGGTGCGTTGGGAATAAGTGGAATGCTCAAGACATGCGTGCTCGAAATTTGACACTACATCACCATCACTTCCACTCACTTTAATTTGGGGCCAGGCAGACGCTTATTTTCATGCGGTGTGCGAGGCGAGTTGTTTTTTGACTTGTTGTCCAAAGGTCGCGGAGATGCCACTGGGGTTTCCGCTGGTAACTCTAACGCATCAACTACTGCTTTGCTACAGACAGCATTAGTTAGATTAATCAGGCGCTAACAATGAAATGGCTCAAATTATCTTTACTTAATTAAAGAGAAAATCAGCTATGTTAATGGTACCCTTCAATGGTTAATTACAGATGTGTAGCTAATAAGTCAGGAGAACTCAAACAATCTTCAGGGGGAAATTAAAGTGTGATTTATGTGGCTTAATAGCCATTTAACAATTGAACATCATTATTTAAGTATATAAATGGAAAACTATAGAACCTTTTTTAAAAAAAAAAAATAAAAAAAAAAAGCTGTACTCAAATTTTGAAATGAATTTCACTAAGCATTTTAAGATTATTTAAGCCACATGACTGGCCATGTTTTGAATTGCTCCACACTTTGATGGGATTTTTTTTTATTCTTTAATTTTAAATTCCTCTGAAATATCATAGTCTTTATTATTTTGTCCTCCCCAATAAAGGACTTTTTTGGATGCAAGTGACCTATTTATTTGAGAGCCCTGCTTAGTGATCTATTATTAGTAAAAAGATAAAACTGCATAAGAGAGTTTTGTGTTTCAAAAATATACTTTTTTTTTTAACATAATAAATCTGCTCCAAATATAACATTATTCAAGAATTGAACTACTCTATAATAAATAAAACTGCGTTTGTTGAACTTGTTAAGATCATTTGACAGAAAGCTGCATAAGAAAATTACTAAAATTTTAAGAAAATTAATTATTATTTAATTGAACAAATTAATCCAAAATTAAGGAGCCAAAATGATCAATAAATTGATCGTGGGCCCTTAAGATATAGAAGAAGAAGAAGAAATTACCATATTTTACAGACTATAAGGCGCTACGGACTATAAGACGCACCTTAATTTTTAAGCAAATTTTTGTTTTGTTAAAATGCCCATACATTTTTATATTAATTTCTGAGCTTTGGAGGCAATTTTTCAAAGAAAAAAGTGTATCTTATAGTCCGTAAAATTTGTTGTTTTCCCCCAGCAGTAGTGCAATAAATACAAGGACAGGTAAGGGAAAAGTTACAGAGAATCGCAGCTAAAACAGGTATTAAATGTTGTGTCACTGAGTCTTTCCAATGCAGTGCAGTATGTGTAATGCACACAGTAATAAATGTTTCATAGCATGAAGTAAAATATCTTACACTGATTGTGTGTGGTCAAGAACACACATCAAACCATGGTAATACATTTTCATTACGGAGCAGGAAAAAAGAATGAAATTATTGAATTTCAATGGCTGCTTATTGTCTTATCTTTTCAATCTGAACCTTGCAGTAAGGAACAGTTGGATAATTAACTTTGTGAATGCGTAATAACCAATCGTTAATAATTTAAACATTTGGATATCTGCAACAAATAATTGGTTTGCCAAATAAAAACAATATTATAATCCTTTGAAAACCATTTTTAATAATTTTTTTGCATGATGGATAGCAGTGACAGGAGTTACACTGTGAAAGTTTTTTAATCTGATTACAATAAACTAGCAGATGATAGCATTTACTGGTAAATTTCTTTTACTTCATTAATGAGGGTTATGTGTAAATATGTATTAATATAAAAAAATAGAATTGTAACATAATAAGGAATTTAATAAGCAAAAGTACTTTCATTTTCTCTGGTGTGAATGCAAGTACAAAATGCTTTTATCAAAATTAAATTTAAATGGAATTATGAATTCCTAACAAAATAAATTGAACAATTTGTTCTTTACCTCCTATTGTTAGGTAAGGGCATGTCATCATGGGCATCAAAATAAGCTACAGTCCTGCCATACATTCAACAAAGTAAATAACTTCTAAAGATCATAGTCGTAGGATGAAACTGTTTCATTAGATATGAAGTTGAAATTTGGCTTAAGTTACAAAAGTCTACCTTTTCCAGAAAGCTCTGTGTTAGGCCCGAGGGGTTTAAAAAAAAAATTTATAACAGATATTATAAAAGCCCATCCCAATATCCATTCATTTGATATAAGCCCCACACCCCAACCTAAACCTAAAATGGTCGTTACATCATCTCCTGGACATTCCACTTTGCAGTGTCCAGCTTAAAAGTGTCATAGAAGAGTTTGTATGGGCATAGTAACATAAGGGTGGGCATTGGAAGTTCGACTTTTTCCCTGTTTATTAAAATGATGTGAGCTATAATTTTTAATACTATTTTGTTTGGTCCCAAATTTCCTATACTGAAATAAATTCAGGCTAGTTAAATTTAAATGTATGAATTCAGAGACAAAACAAGACAGCAGTAACAAAGCAATGACATGGTACATCAAACCATGCATTTCAAAATTAACCATTTCACAGGGTTAGGTATCATATTTGAAAGTTTGTAAATCTATTGAAATCAGTTATCATGTCATCAGCTTCTGGTTTGTTGCATATTGTAATTATTTATTTTTTATAAGTAGTTTTTATATATATATATATATATATATATATATATATATATATATATACATTATATATATAAGTGTGTGTGAATGTGTCATGCACTTACGCCAACAAGGGATTTGAGAAATTAATATATAATTATATTCTTATTAGACATTTACATTGCTGATAAAGAAAAAGTCCGCTCAGATTCTTGAACAAAATATTCATTCCAGTTTTCTCTGGGTTCATTTTTAAGTGTTCTCCAATTAAATTGTGAACAAATTAATAAAAACTCTGTCCTGGTGTATTCTAATAAATAAAGGGTAGAACTTTCTCAGTGTGAGTTTAATGATCTGATTATAATGAATACAAAAATTGGTGCATGCTGCAAGAATAATAATTTAATACAAGAATGTTAATTATGATTAACTTAAGCTAATTAGGCTACAGAGATTCCATAAGAATACATTATTATAAGATTTCACTATAGAATAAAAGGGTTATGATTTTCTAATCTATCTACAATCTAGTGCATAACATGTCTGACTGGATGGCACAAACCAATAAAATGATCACTTACTTGTGGGCGATTGGCCACTCATCATATCGAGGTGGCGTGCGGGGAGGAGGTGGTGGAAGTAACTCTTCCAGTCGAGGAGGTGTGGGCTGACGGATGGGTTCAAGGTCGATGTACTGAGGATGTCGACTCTGGAGAAAATTTTAACCGCTTGCAATTATAAGATAATTCAAAAAGAATCAGCGGCTTTGCTAGAATCAGATTTAAAGTTATTGAGGCCTGTTTTCATTGAATGACAATAAATCAGATATTTAAATAACCAATTATAGGAGACTCACTTAAATTGAAACCATTAAGTTTCCATGAGTATCAAGTAACTAACACTTCATAATTTGTTGAATGTTTTACCGTATATTAACATGTATAGTGGGAGTAATTTACAGTAAAAAAACACTATTTAAAAACGGGATTCAAAATTATACAAGAGTGTACACAATTTTTCATTACTCTTTAAACTATATATTTTAAAGCCTATGCAACCAAATCCACTATGCCCCAATTGTATTTGGCGAGAACACATCATCTCTGCACATACCAACAGTGATGTCAGTAAAACCAGTTGCACAGAATACTAGCATAGTTGTATCATTATGACAACAGTTCATTTTAAATATTATAATATTTTAAAAGGATTTTGACATTTTTATTATGAATAAATATTTATTTCATTAATGAATATTGTGTTATTATGGAAAAAGAATAACAAGGCTTTTTTTCAACAGTTAGAGGTGCGAATTATACACGGTAATAATCGGTAACAGCTGATTTTTTATTTATTTCGTTTTCAGTCTGATACAGGAGTCAAAGGTACAGGGCTCAAAAGTGTTTGTGTTTCCTGTCAGCCCCGTTTTTTCATGCAGCAGAATTTTAACTTAGTATGCACCCAGAAAACAACCCAGTTTGCAAATAGTTAAGCCCAAACACATGGGACTTTTTCCTATTACAAAAATGTGCTATGTTGTAAAGAATTCTACAGTTTTATCAACTTCAAAATTGATTTTTTTAAATGTATATTATTTACATTTACTAACAAAAAACAGAAAAATTTCCCTAAAAGTTGTGTACATCATCCATGCACTGTGCCACTTGACATTCATGCCATAATTTAAATTGTCATTACCCCTGTCAACTCCAATAAATCATTTAGGTTCAAATCCTTGTATATCTGTAGTCTGTATTCATCCATCTGCAATTTCTTTACCCTTGCTTTGTCATAGTCTTCGTTCTCAACAGCTTGTCGTTTCTCTACCTCCATTTTACCAAGTTTTTCACCCACCTGTCAATGATAATTAATATTTCTTCATAAATAAATGTGTACAAAATGTACTCTTATGCTTAGAGTGGATAATGAAAAATTCTATAAAACAACAAAGTGGAGTTTTTTCCCCTGGAGACACACACAATAAACTAAAAATAACAATAATTCATAGACCTTCAACAGCTTACAAAAAAATTTGTAATCATATTTTTTTAGCTTTTAGAATTGTTCTACAGCAAAATTCTGATTTCTTGTAATGTTAAGAAATAATTTACATAAGCCTTAGACAACATAAAATTTTCAATTTTAAAAATTAGGAAACATTATCAATATAAATACTTCATTTTTGAAAAAAATCCAATATTTAAATTTTGTTCCAATTTTTCTGTAAGCCAAAAACTTTAATTTTTAAAAATTATAAAAAAAGAAAATTAAAATGAAATAAGACATAAAAAAAAGAGAGGTTAAAAGTAAAAATAATAATACTTTGATTGTATGAGAAGTCATATAAAATTTAAAAAAAAATGAAAATTACTTTTCAGAATTATCATATGTGAAAAAAAAATTCTCTTTTGAACTCATCTCCTTTAATTATATATTTTGCTTCTGCAGTTTATTCTAAAACTTTGTAGAAAAAAGTATAGGGAAAATGGAAAATAAACTGTCGAGATGCTGTAAATAATGCTCTGTAATAATTTATAGGATAAAAATAAAAGGTGGAAAAGTGGTATATCTTCTACTTAATTTAAATAAGCAATTCCATGCATAAATAATTATCTGCTCATTTTAAACTAACTTTAAGAATTCAGACAAAAACTACTTTCCTTGAAAATAATAATTAATACTATAAAAAGGTAATATTATAATGGTTATTTTGGAGCTTGTTTTTTAAAAAAGTAAGATACACACATTTTAGTGACTATATTACAACTCTTTTAATAGAAGTCTAAATTTCAAATAACATAAAAACAGTGCATTGAGCAGTTTCAAAGGCTTGAAAAAAGGGATTGGGGGAGGGGGGGAGAAGAGAAATTGAAAATGTAACTACTTCTTTTTTCTTTTTTTTAAATGTAGAAACTACATTTTTTAATGTAAATAAAAAAGTAAATGAAATAATTTAAGATTTGATGTTTCTTCTCTAAGCCATTCTAAAGAATAAAATTGTATCTTATCTTAACATTTCCAATTTTATTATTAAAAAGTACTTGATAATTTTAAAAGATACATCACTCAAAAGGATAAACACAAAAAAAAATATTATTTCTATGTCAATGTTGGAGACACTAAATACTAAACCATTGTGTTTTCAAAAATTCTTATTTTCAAGACTAATGATTTTGATTTTTAAAAATCATTTGATTGTGTTATTACAAATAATGAAATCATAAGTCACAATTTTATTCCTTTTGCAAAAAAAATTCTAAACTTAATTTTTTAAAATTTAAACATATAATTTTGCTAAGTTACAAGTTTGTTTTTTAATATTAACTTTATAGTACTTTAATTCTGCTAGACAATATAAACATTTGAGGTTGTGGGGCTGGAAGGTCAAGCTGAAGGGAGGAATTAGTTGAATAATATCTGACAATTTTTAACAAAATTATTCCAAGAAGAGTTGATTAAATTTATAAAATATAATGGGGAAAAAATATTATCATTATAATTTAATATTTTTTCCTACATAGAAATGTTTCCAGTTACCAAATACTCATAATAATTTTCTTCCCCCAAATAGTGGTTTACAATTCCTGCCTGTGAAGAGTATTTTAGACATACTGTCATAGTGAATAGCTGTGTCAAATGTATAATTTAATTAATCATCTAATTTGCATTTTGAATTTTGTTTAGAGCTAACCATATTCATAAGCTTATCTTTTGACAAAACACAAATATGTATTTTTATATATAAAAAACAAAAAAGAAAACTTCAAAAAAATTGAACATTTTTTTAAAATTACATGTAGGAAATCCAAAAATGAAGAAAAATTTAAACTAGTGTTTAAATATCCCAAATGAGTATAGCTAATATGGTGTTCACATGGTATATCTTTTATAATAATTTAACTATAACTACTTAAAGCTGTATATGCACATTTTCTGCAATTTGCCTTTCAGTTCTAAAATGTGCCAATATTGGAGATTATATTCATTCAGCATTTTAGTGCATTTTAAAGAAAAGAAACTATTTCCCTCCAGTTCGCATGAAGCTTCCATCTCTCTCTCTCTGCCTTAACAATGAATAATTTTATTAACCACATATAATTTATCCAAAATAATATGTGAAAATAAGTCAAAGAAATTTTTATGTGTTATAAATTTCCTATATATGACGAGAATGAATATGTTTAAATACAGAAGGCACAGTTTTGTTTTTAATATCAGAGTTTGATTATACTAAGTGCATTCCAATTACAATTCTGCAATTATTCTATTGAAAGTGAATGTGCACAACTAGCAAAATTATTAACAATGTGTTGGCTATATTCAAGACTTACTTTCTGTAACTCTGCAATGGCTTGCTTTAACCTCTTGGCATAATCATAACGCTCCTCTAGATAAAATAGATAAAGTAAAGTTGGTAGCAAAAAAATATAATGCATTAAGGCCAACAATTATAAATTAATGATGAGGTCTAACAAAAACTGTGACGAAAAAAATCAGATAACAAAGAGTTGATCATTGAACATTTGTGCACAAAAAGTAGCAAAAAGTGTTTTTACTTTTTAAGGTGAACTTAGTGAATGCATTAGTAATAAACTTCAGTTTTAAAAACATTTATACTTGAAATAAACTTTCTTCTCATTGGTATACAACTTATAATTACTAGTATATGATTCTGAGGCATACATATCATAATCTTTCTTGAACTCCAAATAAAATTAACAGCATTTTCACAGCAGTACTTTTATTAATTTGATATTTTTTACTGCATACATTAAAACCATTTGTGAGATTTAAAAAAAAAGAGAAAAAAAGATAAAGATTTCACAGAAGTTTGTTAATATCAAGGATGTTAAAATAGAGGATTTACTTTTAACAGTTCACGTTTTCTGTTAACTGATTATTACTAAGTACAATTTTTTTTTCTCTCTGGATTTGTTTAATTGAAATTGTATTTAAAACATGGAAAATAGTTCCATTTAAAGACAGTTAACAAAACGATTGATCAATATAAAATGGAAGAGTGTTAATCTATTCAAAATGCTGATCTTTAAAAGTGCTGTTGACTGAAAAGGCTACATACGGAGAACTGCTTCCTGTTTCTTCCTTTCCAGCCGCCTGATAATTTGTGCAATCTCAGGATCCTGATACATATCAAACGCTAAGTCGTCAAGAGGGGAGATGTAGTCTGGTCTGGAATTAAATTCAGTTACATTAATTTAAATGATGAAAAAATAATAAACATGTGAGTATTGAAGAATCTGAGAAAGGAATGTTTTACAACAGCGGACCTAAATTTGACTATTTGACAAAATTCTTAACTTTAAAAAATTTTGTGGGAGGACCCTATTCAATAAAATATTACGGATAAAGGTCTTCAATCATGTCATATGTTAGGAGACCACGGTTTAAGATATTTGGCTTACACACTCTTGCTCATTAAATAAAATTGTATGCCTATGCATAAGTATTGAATATGCTTTCAGCCAAAAAGTTTCCCCATATTTCATTCCAATTGTAGACTTTTTTTCAAAACTAAGCTGATGTTTTTGATGAGACTGACATGGTTTTGTTAAATTTAGCTTTTTTCCAACCTCCTCCCTGCAATCCATGGAACAACAATTAGAAAACACCGGGTTACTTGTTTACAATTATTTTAAAATCAAATTAGCATTCTGGTAAGGAAATACAACATGAGTGGCTAACTTGTTAAACAAGCCTTCCAGTGCTGGATCTCTATCAACTCTGTTGTCTTCAAGCAGCAAATCCTGAGAAAAAAACACAGGAAAACCAAAAAATTAATATATTTAAACCTGCAGCATGTTTTTATTTTCATAAAGTAGCGAGCTATTCAGCAACAAAAAATTTATTTAAAACATCCTAATATAACATAATATTAATTAATAAAATTGATCGCTTCATTTTTCTTATTTTAAACTCTGACATAGATTTTGTTCAAAGTCATCCCTAAAACATCACAAAGCACAAAATTTATATTTGTTATTGCCCAAAATTTAACTTTAACATAAAAAAAATTATTGAAACTGTTAACAAACCGGGTCAGTGATGTCATAAGGCCGCCTAAGCTCATCTCCTATTACATTGATTGCAATAATTCCAACCTGAAAAAGAAATAATCACAAAACAATAAAGGAGAAGTCATTAAAAAAAATCTTCTGCTATCTTTGAAGATTACTTTGTTAATATTAGAGACAATAGATGGAGACAAACTAGTTCAGATTGCATATAATATGTACACAGGTTAGAGGCCATGCATATATTATATTTTTTTAAAATTACATTTTTGACCCACCACCCTACCCCTAAAAACATTATATAAGATAAGATTGAAAAGATAAGATTCTTTTATTGATCCAAATAAATGGAAATGTTTTTTTATTGCATTATACATTTTCAGCACATAAATAAAACAATTTGAAGACAAGACATTTATAATAAATTATCCCCAACAGCCATTCAGTGAGTTCTCTTAGCCAAATCGGGGATTTATTAGTTCTCATGAAGATGTGTGACTTCAGAGAGAGCACGCCGGTAAATTCGTACAGATTGGTGAATAAAAGAATTTTTATATCTTTCACTCCTTGCCCTGATGGAAAGAATTCGTCCCGAACCGCCCGAAGTATTTGTGATGAAGAGGGTGAGATGTATTATCCAAAATGTGTTTAGTTAAACATCTTTCTTCAAATAGTTCTTCAAGTGAAGGATGTTTAGTTTGTGTTATGTTCCTAGCTTTCTTGATTAGTCGGTTTATGCAGTTTTTAATATCGGACGTTGAATTCCCACACCAGCAGGTAATACTGAAATTAAGTAGGCTTCCAATTATTGCACTGTAGAATAAGTTAACGACTTGTTTGTTGACGCCGAAATTGTACAGTTTTTTGAGGTAGAACAGTCTTTGGTTGAATTTCTTATACAGCATTTGGCCGTGCTCATGCCATGTTAGCTTATTATTAATGGTGACACCTAAGTACTTGTATACTTCCACTTTCTCTACACTTTGATTTTTATGTTGAGATCTGTAATCTGGTGTTTCCCCCTCCTGAAATCAACAACCATTTCCTTTGTTTTTGAGACATTCAGCTGGAGAAAATTTTCATCGAACCAATTGATAAAGCTTGTCACTAAATTGCGGTATAGACCTTCTCCTTCAGATATTAAGCCAACTTTGGTGGTATCAGCCAATTTGAAGATTGGACCGGTGTCGCTTGAGCTTTGACCATTTCCATTGACCACAGCCCTCATATTGTATAACATTTCTAGCAAACCACACACACCCCCCCCTCCCTCTCCGTTAAATAACTAATAACATCCAAAAAAACAAGCATTTTTTTTATTTTTTACAAAAATGTGCAAAGTATTGTAAAAAAATACATTTTGGTTTATGATAATGATAATCTACGACCTTTTGTACATTTTAAAAGCAGAAGTTTTTACAAAATAACAATTAATTTTTTAAAAAAACAATTAATTTAAAAAAAAAAAATGCATAAAAGATTTGTTATCTAACATTGCTCTCGCCCAACTCCCTACCCACTGAGCATTATTTAATACTAAGCCATTTCCAAGAATTTTGTTCTCGTTATTAAAAGCATAAATTGGATGTTGAGTTACCGGTATTTATTATTTTAAGAATATAAAACCAAAATATATTTGCAAAGGCTTACAGCACAAATCTAAAGTTTACAAAGACATTAAATCTCTTCTTCAAAAATGATTTCTGAGGTGATAGCTGATACAAGTTTGTGCTTGTTAAATAGGTTTCAAAATGCATTATTATAATTAAATAAGAACAAACCTGGTTATACAAGTTGTGTTTGTTGACATGATTTTTGTGAATGTTCAGCTTCAGAAAATGCCCTACTGCATCTACATGTACAGATTTTAGCTCCCTTGCCTTGTAGCCTGTCTTTTCATTGTCCGACAGTGAGACATATCTTAAGCAAAAATAAATAGAAGTGCAATGAAAATGTTAATGATATCATATGTCACTCACAAAATTACTCTCATTTAACCAAAATATTAATTGCCCATAAATGGATGTCTATTCATTGTTTTTTTTTATCTATTTCATTTTTTTTTAAAAATTAACTATTCATTTTTCATATATGCGATCTTCACATTTATAAAAGATATTTAGTCAAGACAGTTATAATTTAAATATGTAATTAAATTTAATTCATTTTCCCTTAAATTTTATAAGGTGGTTTAAATTTCTATATTGCTAGTATTCGCTTAGGATGTGAAAATTCAATTTCCTTCTTTACAACCCTTCAAAATGTCAAAATCCAAACAATTTGTTTATTAAGTATTTTATATTCCTTGCACAGAAAGAAAGTCCTACGAATAATTTTTTATAAAAGTTTCCCTTACCCTAGCCTTGCATATCTGGCACTATCTAAAGTAAGCAGTGTACCATCAGGAACATCACCCACAAAGAATTCTATTTTGGTTGCTGTAAAAAAATGTTTGAGTTTTAAAAAAAATGGACCCTGTAAAAGCTATTTTCATATGTATCTCCTGAGAATTGGGGTGTGGGGGGGGGGGGGGGGGGGGGGGGGGGTTGGGGGTGTGTGTTTGTCATTAAATATATAACACATATTTTTAATTTTTTAGCAATTTTGTTTCTCTATTTATATGCTTCTATTTTCAAGGCTTAAGTAATCTTTATAATACAATAATCATAAATTAGTAAACTCTGAAAACAAATATATATAAATTATACATTTCTTTTTAAATTCATTAAGCTTGTACAACAGGGAAAGAAACTTTTGTGAATAAATTCAGTAAAATCTATGGGGCCAAACATTGCTACACATGATTAAGAACATATGTTTCCATGATTTAGAACATAGTTACTTCTAATTGAGAACATTGCTATCGGTACTTATAATTTAGAACATACGAATAAGGTATTGATGAGACAAAATCTGAATCTTCCGTAGCCTTGATCTTGTTTCAAGTTGTATAACCATATCTTGTGGGTATAAGCAGAACCTGCAAATATACATAGTTTATTTATTAACCATTTAATCTTTCGTTTTCAAACTCAATCTTAATACCAAAAATGTTATGAAAATACAAAACTAAAATAAAAAAATGTTGACCTTGCTGACTGCCATCCCTTGGTTAATGGGCTATGGTGGTTCAGTTCACTAGCCCTATAGACATCGTCTTGACCAGATGCATGGATGACTTTGAAGTGTAATTTGTGAGGCATTATTTATGAAAACTCTAGCAGTGTTCCTGTCTTCTTGCTATTAGGGTACCTTAAAGAAGGGTTAGGATAAGTGATGAAAAAGATGAGCATAATGTAAGGATGCACATGATTTAAGATTACTACTATACTACCAATTTGACATGGAGAACAATTGTGAGCAATGGCCTGAAAGCTTCTTTAATTTAGAAAAAAAAGGATCTTCAATTAAGCAATTTCAGTTCTAGCTGTTACTGTCTTGAAGAATCTGATTTAGAGGCGATCCATAAATGATATCATGCTATTTTGCTTGATCTTCTTTACCTACCTCCCCAATCATCACAAATGGGTAATACAAATTAGACACCTTTATCACATGGACCCTCTCCCCCACCCGATCTATGACATCATTTATGAATGGCCACTTATAATGTATGTTGTAGAATTTTCTAGGTACCGTACTACAGATATTTAACAAAATTTGAGTGTTTATTCAAAAAATGAGTTCAGGTTTTGACATGCTTACATGTGAAGTTTTGTTTTAAAAAATGTCCTAACTCCTCTCCTCGTCTGCACTAACCTAATTGGGAGAAAAGGCATCATTTATAATTTGATGAGTTGAGTTGATTTGAGTTTGTTTATAGTAATTAATTAATTTTATTACACAATTGCATCCTTTTATTTGGGTGTGTAAATAGATTAAAGTATACTAGTTCACTATTAAGTTAGACCAAGGGTCCATTTTGGTGTGCAATGTCACACTGATAAACCGTGAGGTTATGCTAGTTGTGCCACACAAACTGTCTCCAAGAGGAGAAAAAGCACAGAGTATATAATATATATGTGCACAAAAACAGCAGTACAAATTTTTTACTTTTGATATGCAGCAAAGTTCTTTGAAAAGCCTAGGGTGTGTAACAAGAAAAAATGTTGCAGAGCTCTGATTTAGACTATAAGTTGTATAAGGTAGCTTTTTTTTGTTCTCCACAGCACAGCATCCTTATTGCACCACCTAGTCTACCAAGGGAACATCTAACATACGAAAAGGTACATTTACCATGTGGTAAAAAAACATTAACTTCAGTGATAAATATGGCTCTAGCAAAAAGAGAGTGTTTTTTTAAAATAGTAAATTAGGTAAAGGAGTAAAAGATTTGAAAGTTCCTTTTCTTCTTCTTCTTCTCTATTTTGAGGGCCCACGATCAATGAATTGAATAAAATGTAGGTATATCGAATTAGCCTTTAACTATTAGGCTGTTTAGTTGGTGTGATATATCAATAATCGGTTCATTCGACTTGCATAATTAAGAACACTTGTTGACATATGTTTAGTACCGCACATGCATGGATGATGGGCGTTTAGGCTTGTTTATTACAATATTTATCAATGATAGACATGGAAATGCATCCTGCAGTGACCGAGCTGTGATGAGTGAGTCAGTCAGTCAATTTGGACAGTTCATTGAGTAAAAAAAACACAATAAAAATGCTGTCCTATAGACTATAGCAGTAATTTCCATCCTTTTTGACTTGCTAAGCCCATTTTTAAAATCAATTTTTATGGTGGAGCCCCTTAACCTGCCATTAGGCCAACCGTATGTCTTAGAATATCAGCCATTCATATGTTTTACAGTTTACAATTTTATAGTTTTTATAAGTTTCCTGTAGCGTTATATTATGCATTTATAAATAAATTGTAACTTATCTAACTATGTAATTTGTATTATCAGTTAATTTACTAGCTGCAATATGGATTTTCTGTATACCAATTATGAACTTTCAACTTTTGCACATGACTAATTAATTCAAGCTTTCCCTGACCAATGAATTAAAAGCTTTTGCACACAGCAATCTCTTATGAATGAAACTGTGAGAATAATACTATAGTAGTAGTATAGCACATTCAAGTGACTGTGAATCAGTTCCGCGAGAGCGGAAGCATCTTCGTGGAAACTTGGGGGCGTCCACATGGGGTTTGCCTCTTTGTGGCATGGTGGACTAGTAGGGTGGACCTGTCCACCCGAAGCAAAAGACCCCGGCACACCGCATGATTCCCAATGCAACATGAGTAGTAACACAATAACATGATTACATGTTGCCGTTTATGGATATGAGGCTTAGTTGGCAGAAAAACCCATGACGATGAATTTAGCTATGCAGGCTTGAGAAAGCTGTTCCAAGGCAACAGTTTTGTCCCAGCTTTTATCCAAACTGAAAGACTCCCTGGGCTGTTTGGGGTGGTAATGCCACACCATTTCCCCAGAGGGGAAGTAATCCCGCCCAAACCCTTGGGAGAGTTGGCTGCGAGCGCTTTAAACGCAGTGTTTTCATTCAGTCGACCGGATGTCCTCCAGGCCAGGGGGAGGTTCCCGGCGTGCAAACGCATGGTCTGTCGGCAGAGAAACCCGGCATCTGGCCCATGTGGAGGTGTGCCGGGGGGGGGGGGGGATTAAGAGCTCGTGCTCGATGGCCCACCGCCCCCAGTTTCCAATGTGATGTATTTAGTGACTATGAATGCTTGCCCATGACAACGTTTTGCATACAGCAAATTATCATCATTTACATTATGGAATCTATGGGGTTTTGAACCTCAAATTAAAATATTCTTGTTTAAATGCCTTTTCTAAGTTCATGCAAAAACATAAGTCATCGAAATATTTTGATGTAAATAGTGTTAATAATTTCTAAAGTATCGGCATCTTCTGCCATTAAAAAGGGGCCATGGTCACATCCAAGAGAAGTTGGGTAGAACGACCTACATTGTATACTGCTCAAACTGGAAACCATGAAATCTCTTGCAATATACATAGCACTTTGAAAATTGGCACACAGGTAAATCAATATTATATACCAGAGATGCATACTAAATTTGAAAAGGGCATATATTTAATTTCAAATTAATCTTAATGATGAAAGTTGCCTTTAAATTATATTATATTCACCAAGGATTGTCTCAAAGTTGACTAAATGAAAAATAATTGATTAAAATGTAGGCCAAGATGTCTTAAAGTGAAAGGCCGGAAAAGGAACACAATTGTGGGAAATAGTATATAATTCTTTTATTTATGAATGAAATAGCACCAACATCAAAAATAAAAAAACTTGAATTTTCATGTGCGACACCCATTTCCCTCTTAGTAGTCTCCCATGCTTTACCAAAGTACCTATCACTCAATACATAAAAGTTAAATTAGTAAAATTTGGATTTTCATAATTCAGATGTTGATTCTTCACAATACTTTTTGACAATAGCTGGTTGGTAGGAAATATGGCTACCATTTAATTAATAATATACCCTGTCACTATCAACATCAAGACTAAGACAGTATAATATAGTATAGTAGACTTTGTCATACAAATTGTCTTTGAATTGTAGTCTAGGCCTAATAAATAATTAGTCTACCTGCACTCTTATCTAGACTTAAATTTTAACTTTATTCTTTACTAACGGAACTCTTTAATTAGGCACTTGGATACAAAATTTAAAAAAATTCAAATAATTTTTTTAATAGCACAGTTAGTTAGAGCTAATTTCAAATAAAAAAATGAAACCAGAATCAACTTTTTAGCTTAAGTACTTTTTGAGCTATGAATTTTTAAAGTGTGAGTTCGTTTGGTATTTTTTACTATGGACGAAACCTCCACATCTTGTGACCTCATTCCGCTGATCGCGTCATGCGCAATGACTATATACTTTATATAAGGCAACGCATCGCCTTATCACTAAAATACTGTTTAGGGTCGACTTAGTTTAAACTTTCAACTTTGGCACATGAATAATTAATTAAAGCTTTCCCTGACCAATGGTATAGTAGTTTTTGCACACGGCAAACTCTTATGAATGAAACTCTGAGGTAGTACTACGATACAGCCGTTATGCAAGTGGCTGTGAATGGTTGCCAATGACAACGTGTTGCACACGGTAAATTCTGATCATTTATAATATGGATTCTACCGGGTTGTTAAAGCTCAAATTAAAACATTCCAGTTTAAATGTCTTCAAAATGCATTCTGAAACACAAGTTATCAAATATTTTGATGTAAATAGTGGTAATAAATTAATATTTCCTAAGTATCGGCAACTTCCGCCATTAAAAAGGGGGCGTGGCCAACCCCATGGCGAAATTAGGTTGAGCGAGCTGCATGACCTGCTGCGAACGCGCAGAAACATAGCGTCTCTCGTAAGACACTTATCGCTGTGAAAATTGGCATACATGTAGATCAATAGATTCCCCAGATGCAAAAAAAAATTTGGTAGTGACAAATTTTTTCCTTCGACTTAATTTTAATGATGAAAGTTGCCTTATATTTACCAAGGATTTTCTCAAAGCTGACTGATTGTAAATGAAAAAGAAATTGATTAAAATCTAGGCCAAGATGTCTACCTAATTATAAGGCCGAAAACGGAACTCAAATACATATCGAAAGTACTAATTTAATAATAAATAGACACACACATCGGAAAATTAAAAACTCGAATTTTTTGGCGCCGATTGCGAAATCCCATACACAAAAAGTAGTAGTCTCCCTTGACTTACCGAAGTACCAAACTTTAATACTTTAACTTTAAACTCTTCTACTTTTAACTCTTTATTATTATTCTCTTTACTTATTTATTGAGTCTTACTTAGTTCACTTATCGCTATAAAAATAAACTGTCCAATATTTTATTACTTCATATTTATAGACATAATTATAAGACATCAATAATGATTATCTATCAAATTGAAAACAATATTTATGATCAAGTTGTTTTTATACCGCGAAATCAAGAGCTGTGATGGCTCTTAAAACACTTGACAACCATCACTTCAAAATTTTGTGTACATTGGATAGCAATGGCGGTTAGTCTCAAACAAACGAGAAAAGGTAAGTAAATAATATTTGAATGTTTAAAATAGTTCAATTTAACGGATAAACACACATAATTGAAAATAAAATGTTTTTAATTGAAAATTTAGATGAAGTTATATTTAAAATTTATAAATTAAAATAATAATTTTTGTTAGATTTCTAGATTATGCCTACTAATTAACGCAAGTTTTAAAAAAAATGACATCATAACTAAAATATGACACAATTTTAAACTGGAATGTTACACAGATACTTTCACTATAACGTTAGTTAAATATTGAGTTATTTTTTACAATCGTGAATTATGGAACGTTTAGGCATTTAATTTTCAAATATTCTAAATAATCTAAACTTTAAAAAAAAAATATGTATGCTTTCTGTTGAATTCGTTATTTAGAGAATTTTAGCCTGTAAGTGTAAGATATTCTTTTCCGGTACAAGCAAAAATGGCAGGTGGAAAGCAAAACAAGCTGTCTAGAGAAGAAGAGCTTTTGCTCCAGGATTTTAGTAGGAATGTTTCTACTAAATCATCCGCATTGTTTTATGGCAACGCTTTCATCGTATCTGCAATACCGATGTGTAAGTCATTTATAAATGTCAATGTAAACGCATTCAATAGACTTAAGCGCTTGTCAAATCCATTTCTTCATTGTTGACGTGGCGATTACCGGGTTCCCCAGAATGCTGAAGAATAATAAGTAAATTATTTTTATAAACTAATAAAGACTATTAAAATTATTTGCCTTGGTAAAAGCTTATGGTTAAAGTACGGATAATAATAATTATGTTAATAATTTGTCAAATTCTTACTAATTTTACAGGACTTAGTTAATGTTAATGATGTACTTAGATACTTTGGTCAAAAATGAAAACATTTTTTTAAAATAAACCAATGGCACAGTTGAATAGAGCTAATTTTAAACAGAATTATAACACCAAAATCATATTTTTAGCTGTTGTAGTTTTCAAGTTATGAATTTTTAAAGTACGACTTGGTTTGTCAATTTTTAACATGGACTGCATCTCCACATTCTGTGACCTCATTCCACTGATCGCGTCATGCGCAATGACTATATAGTTTATATAAGGCAACGCATTCCCTAACGCTAAAATACTGTTTAGGGTCGACTTATTTTAAACTTTCAACTTTGGCACATGAATAATTAATAAAAGCTTTCCCTGACCAATGGTTTAATAGCTTTTGCACACGGCAAACTCTTATGAATGAAACTCTGAGATAGTACTACGACGTAGCCGTTATGCAAGTGGCTGTGAATGGTTGCCAATGACAACGTGTTGCACAGGGAAAATTCTGATCATTTATAATATGGACTCTGCAGGGTTTTTAAAGCTCAAATTAAAACATTTCCAGTTTAAATGTCTTCAAAATGCATTCTGAAACACAAAATATAAAATATTTTGATGTATATAGTGGTAATAATTAAATATTTCCTAAGTATCGACAACTTCCGCCATTAAAAAGGGGGCGTGGCCCACGCCATGTCGAAATTAGGCTGAGCCACCTTATGGTGATATGGGTCACTGTGACAAATGTAACAAATGTGAGACACGACCTACATCAATGAAACTTGGCACAGATATAGATCAATATCTAATGCTCATACAGATTTAATCAAAAAGGACCTTATCTTATTATTTCACAAAAAATTTTGTATGCAAAGATGCCTTATATATACCAAAGATTTTCAAAATAAAGGTCGATTGAAAAAAGCAAAATAGCTGGTTAGAAATGTAGGCCAAGATGTCTTCCAAATTATAAGGCCGGAAACGGAACTCAAATATATGTGGAAAGAACTAATTTAATAATAAATAGACACACACATCGGAAAATTTAAAAACTCGGATTTTTCGGCGCCGGCGCCCATTTCCGATACAAAAAAATAGTAGTCTCCCTTGTTTCATCGAAGTATCTAATGTACTTTACTGATGTGGTAGTATTAGTACTAGTAGTAGTAGTAGGCTAAGTAGGCGTAGGGCAGGGAAATAATTGAAATATCAGTTTGAAATTGTCCAGTTTAGACTTGAGTAAAGCATTAGAATACAACATTTGAAATCTCCTCATGATAGTATAATTAAGGTTCACTTAACATTTGCAGCAAACTTTAGATTTTTCAATTTTGTTCCTTATTTTTTTAATGCATTTTATTCATCATTACAGGGTTGTTTTGGCGCATTCATCAGATGGATCTTTACCAGTCAGCAATCATCTTTGTCATCGGCACCATCATCAGCACATATCTAGTTGCATTAGCTTATAAAAATGTCAAGTTCATTTTGAAGCACAAGTTTGTATATCTTTTAAATATATTACTTTAAATAAAATTAGGCCTATTTATTGAACATTTAATGACTAATGTATTAATTTTAATTTAAAATTACCTCCAAAAGCAGTTATCAAATGCTTTTGTTTAAAAAATTGTATTGCTGTTGTTAGTTAATTTAAATAATAATTACAGAATTGCTCTGAAGAGAGAAGACGCTGTTGCAAAAGAGATGATGAAAAAGCTTGCTGATGATAAACGCATGACTAAAAAAGAAAAGGATGAAAGGCAAGTTATAGCTATGTTGTCTTGTCATAATTTAATTCATTTTGAGTGAGTGAAAATTAAAAAATTAATTAAATATTTGCACACAGGTAAAAACAATTTATTGGCAGCTGATGATGACTGGATGCCATCTAATTCAATAGTTCTACAAAGTTTTAAAAATATTTTTGATGTAATAGTTTAACATACATCTCCATTATTTCAGAGTTTTGTGGAAAAAGAATGAAGTTGCAGATTATGAAGCTACTACATTCTCCATCTTTTACAACAATGCTTTGTACTTAGTACTTCTCATCGTAGCATCGTTTTTCCTTTTGAAAAACTTCAATCCAGTTGTGTATCCTTTTACCTTGTAATAGAATGATAATGCATGCTGGGAATGTCATATGCTATAAATTCTTACTATCCTTGAAATAAATGCTTAACCCTATCATTAACGCTGGTTTTGGCATCAATTTTCGCTGACTTGCAATAAAATTGCTTATTAACTTCTCTATATATTTACGAATAAAGAAATATATAGTATATAGCATTGAAATATGACGTCGAAGTGACGTCCTTGGTATTTCAGAAAAGTTCTTTGCCTCTTTGCTATGATGACAATGTGACGTCCTTGGTAATTGAAAGTGGGTGATCGTGACATGGCATCGACGTAATCTGTTACAAAAGGATTAATGGGGCATTATGATAAATTTAGAGATTGTTTCCTGTATCCTCTGCATCGCTGAATAATCCTATATCAAATACTATATAACATGCAGTTTAACTATTCCCTATGGTTGCTACTGGGGGGGTTCTGATGCACGCATTCAAATATGTAAGCATGGCCTGATGACAAACCTCATTATTTAAAATAGCTATGAAATCACACACACACACATCAATAATTCTGGTGAGGGTATGATTCTTTTTTATCTTGTTTCACTTCAATCAATGTGTTTTAGTACAGTGCGTCTATATCTGGCATATGTTTGTCTGAGATGCCAAAAATCTTGTTTATTTTGGGATAATGTTGTGTTGTTTGTTGTGCTGTCAACAAGTACCTGCCTGACACTAACTGCCTGAGCAATGAAATTGATTCACAGGGTATGAAATTGATTCTCTGGTTGCTGATTTTAAGAATTTTTTTTAAAAAATGAGAAAATATTGAAATTATAAAAAATAAACGAGTTTCGCTGTTTGTCATATTAAAGTATAGGCTAATGTAATTAAGGTGTTTTTAATAATAAAATTTAAATTAACTACACCATTTCAAAGTGTGGTTATAGGACAAGTGCATGACGAATGTAGAAGTTGTTGTGTAGGCAAATGGTAACATCTGCAATCGATAGACTCATCGGACTAACCCACCATTTTGATTTATATTACTCCAGTGATAATAGTGCTTCATAAATAAGGTTCTTAACAGCATTGATACTGAATTAGTCTTCTCCACCTGGTACCCGGGTATCGGCTCTGTGGGTCGACAAGTACTCAGGCAAGTGGTTTTTTTTTTTATTTTTGAGAGCTGGAAAATACTAATTAATTTCAAGTAATTGGAAGTATTAATTAATGTTATCCCAGCCACAGATTAACTAATTAAATATATTTTTCAGTTAAATTAAAAGCAAAGTGCTGTTTGGATTGGTTGGATTAATTTAATATGTACTAACTGAGAAAGTAGATAACAAGAAAATTGAACCACATGGAAATTTTGAAAGTTCATTTCAAAATGTGATGCTAAAATTAAATTCAAGGCAAAGTTAGTTCTGTCTGTGTGTTGAGAAATGTTTTTTGGGGATATAATCCTTGCAGGTCTTCCCATTCCTTAAGTACTTCGACCAGTATGTTATGTTTGCAAAATACAACTAAACAGCAACCATTTTGGTGGTAAGAAGTTATAGAGGTTTGAAAAAGCCTTAGGTAATAAAGAATAAAGTGGTTGAAGTTGAAGAGTTGTTGGTCTTTATGATAAGTTCTTATTTTGTGTTGCAATATTAAAACATAATGTACACTATTTAATTTCTTCTTTAAAAGATTGTTTGTTACATTAATACCAACATTTCCTTAACGACTTTGCAGCAATTACTCCCTGTCAGTTGGATCTGCTGCTGGTTTACTGGCTCTTTTTTCTACAAGCAGTAAAGTTTGATAGATTAAGATATGTGAATGTACTTTAAATAGTTTGGATAGGGTGAATGTTTTTGCATTTACAAGTATAAGCCAGTTTTTGGTTTATTTTCATATATTTTATTTTGAAGTTATCACATACGAAAATAGTTTCAAAATAACCTTTTTTTCTGAAACAACATTGTATGCATGCTTGTATACATTTAAATATTTTTATTGTGCATCATTTATTGATGCTTATGAAAATAAACAAATTTCAAATCATTCCACTTGTTTGCTTACAGTGCCTTTCCTTTTTTTATTATTGTAATTTAAACAAGGCCTGCACAACATACGGCCCGCCAGCACCTACTTTGTGGCCCGCCAGCACCTACTTTGTGGCCCGCCTTACATTTTGAGTTGTGCAGGCCTGCTTTAATTTTTAAACCATTATTTATATCTTTCATTTTCTGGTTAACTTATTTGAACTTTTTTGTGAGAAATCATTTTCTTCTTCAGTTAATAAATCTGCTTTAAATATATATTCTATATTTAGTATATTTAGATTGTTCCCATCATAATTTAAAAAACAATGACCACTAATTTACCACTAAGCTGGTAATGGTAATAGACTTTGGTGTCCAGTTCCAAGAAATCAATCACTTTGTTGAAAGTGGACACTCTGCTGCCCCCATCTCTATCCTATGAAGATGAATTTAGTAAAAGGTATGCATTTTTAGAATAAATAGTACTGGAGCCATATTTCATTATGAGGTTATAAATTATTATACTTTAACCCAGTACCGTAGAGTAATAGATGATACGAAATTTAAAGGAATTGAATGAACTATACCGTACCAGAGCAAGACATCTAGAAGGAATGTCAAATCTACCGTATCACAGAAGCTATTGGCTCAATACCTGGATAGATATTGTATCAGCTGGTGGGGAATGGTTAAAGTCAGGGGTCTCAAACTCGCGGCCTGCAATAGGATATTTTGTGGCCCACTACATGACATCAAATTTTAGTGTTAATCCGGCTCGCGCGTTTTTCCAAATTCTCATTAACGTGACCGTCTGCAACGGTTTCAGTCAAATCTCACAGACTAGTCTAATTCTGATTTTTATTATGTTTGAATAGATTTAGACATTGATTATAATGGTAAATACCGTTTTAAAATCGGAATCAAAGTTTTTATTTTATAGCATTTTATGAGACAAACATGGCGAAAGTGTTTTGAGAAAACAGGCTTTGAATATTTTTTATACACGCATCAAAAGTTTAAAAAGCCAGTTAGTGGGTTATGCACAAGTTGCTGCACAACCATGATTGTGTAAATTGTAGCAATCTGGCACAGTATCAAAGAATCCCTATTGAAATTGGTGCTAGTGTTTATGAGTGAGGGAAATTCCGAGCCTGTCAGCTTGGTCACTTTCCAAATAGATTTAGTCAAAAAAGGCCTTATCTACGATAAAAAAATAAAAATTCATTCTCCATACAATAGCATCTTCTTTCGCATCAATAATTTGTAAATATTGCCTGCTCCTAGCTACTGTTTGAACACGTTTTACCATTTAAAGCCTTCATGGAGAAGGATGGGGTAGTTGTTCCTGTACTAAATGATCCCAAATGGTTCATGGACTTGACTTTTCTTGTTGACATTACACAGGAGCTGAATATACTCAACTAGAAGTTACAAGACCAGGGGTAGCTTGTCAGTGGTGACTTTGACAATGTCAGGCCATTCTGCACAAAACTTGTGTTATGGTTCTTATCTTAAGGAAACCTCTGCCATTTTCCAACATGCAAAGTGCTCATTGACTCAGGCACACCATTCAGTAGTAAGTATACTGATGCCAATGCAAAGCTACAGGAAGATTTTGATATCACATTTTTAGACTTAAAACACACAGAGCCACTTTTCACATTTTTGCTGACCCTTTCTCCTTCAATGTAAGAGATTCCCCCACTTCCTCCCTTTGAGCTTCAAATGGAGCTCATTAATCTTCAGAACAATTCTAAGTTCAGAGAGATAATGGAAAAACAAACAAGCACTGACAATTTATGAGAACATTGCCCTTTACCTTCCCTTAGATTTCCTGGTCGTTCAAGCGGATCATGTGCCTTTTTTGGGAGTACCTATCTGTGTGAAAAGCTTCTACACTGAGGGTTTCAATTGCTTCCTCACTCAAACTCAAGGCAAATGCTGCTCAGCTGTGTAAGAAGAAGCGCTGCCATGTCTCTGGCAACAAATAGGAGGAGGAAGTTAGAAAGTGAAGCCTAGTTCTTGAGAACCCTTAATGTTTTTATTTGTTGCCCGGTATTAACAAAGGTTGAGTATATTGTAACAGTTGAACTTTTAATCGCCTTTTTTGTGGAATACTTGATGGGGCCAAGTCTCACTCATACTCTACCTCCTGCAGCCCCTGGATGATTTCAGTTTGAGACCCTGGTTTAAGTGAATGAAAGTGGTGAATCAGACCAAAAGCTCTCCATGGACAGTAATGCTGTGCCACGAGATGTTAGTGTTAGGATAAAAAAACTAAATGGTTACACTAAAATTATATTATTTAAAAAATTAAACAATCCGATGATCTTAATTATTTCCCTGAACTAGATGTTTCAAACCTTAACACTAACAATACGAGAGCTTGACTGCGCCTGTTAATAAATAGGCTCTTTCTAACTCCTTAATTAGAAGAGTTAATTCAACTAGGCAACGTTGAAAATGGCTGGTGGATTTGGTCCTAATGCGGCTGAGACGTAACGGCTGGAAAGCTGTATGCAAAATGCAATTGAAACTATTCTTCATTGTCTTCATATTAATTTAAGTAAACTTGAATAAGATTCACTTACATAATGTAACAAAGGCTAATAATTATTTTTAAACATTAATGAATTTAATGCCAATCGAATTCCATCATGGTTTCCTTGCCAGATGTATATATTTTTAGAACAATGAGAATGAAAAAAAATGTTTTATCACGTTGGAGCATGAAAATTATTAACACATTCATCCATTAAATCAAAGAGTTTATAGTGAGGACTGCTCCTGTAGCAGATCTCTTTAGCAGTTTCTCCAGCCTTTGACTTAATGCATATATCAATAAATGGTGCGGTCAACAGGAGCTCTAGCATGAGTCCATTTTCTGGCTCTGCTGCAGCCAAGTGCAGTGGGGTCAAGTTGCCATTGGTTTGTGCATTTACATCAGCACCCGCATAAATCAAGAGCTGGGCTGTTTCAACTGAGTTCCAACGAGCAGCACTATGTAGGGGCTGCCAGCCATCAGCTGTTTTGGAAGTTACATCAGCCCCATGAGATAAAAGGAGCTGAAATAAAATTTGAAAAGGAAAAAAATTTTAAGCTTAAGCAATAATAATGCAACACAATAGAATTTACTAGAAAAAGGATCCTAGTCAGTGGTTTTTACAAGTACCATTATCTGTATGCATGTTTTTAGATAATCATATTTGCATCAACCAAAAAAGTCTATCATACTAATAGTATAGTACTCATACCGGAACTTAAAACAAATCTTGAAAGTCATATTTTAACATTTTAAGTCTAATGGCTTAAACAGGTTTCAGAACTTTTAATATTGCACAACATTTCAAATACCGGTATCAACATGTTAGTGGTTGATTGCAAAATAAATTGTGTTCTATTATCATAAATGCTATAGCAAGTTATATATTGAGAGGAGCTAAGAGAATAAAAACCAGGATTAAAAATTTCTTAATTTAATTGCTAAATCAAAAGGTGATAAATTTGAAAAAAAAAGGAAAAATTTGTTTAAAATAAATATTGTTTTTCAATAGTTTCCAGTGAAGGGGGTGATCAGTCACCCATGACCGCCATTTTCAGGTGTGTGTGTAACATTTATAATATAAATGATTGTATTGGAGAAGGGGGCCCCCATGAAATTTTGGGAATTCATCCTGGGAAAGTCTAGCAATGTTGTGAAATGAATAAGAAGGTAAGGATGAACCTAAAACTTATGCTGAAATTTTTTGAAAATTAAAATTCTGTAAAAAGTATTGATTTGTTCCTATAACGGTAAAATTGATTCATCACCTGTGCCATGTCCTTATGATTGTTATAAGATGCTCTGTGTAAGGGTGTGTATAGATCACCATCATGTGATGCAACCAATTTTGGGTGAGCTGTCAAGATGTCACTGGCAACTTCTAATTTGTTGTTTTCAGCTGCCCACAGAATTCTTTTGCCTGGGTCATCTGAGAATAATAAGATTGTTGAGAAACTTAATTATTGTTTTACTACCATGATTATGATTTGAACAACATATACCAGTGGGATATTCTAATATTTATTACAAATGATAAAATATAACCCAGACATTTAATTTTTTTAAGGCAGAGACGTCGCTTTAAGTACCAGTACTTGATTTGACCCAGATGATGTTAATGCAACCTTATAGCAACTTCAAATATAAATGTCAAATTTTAATTTGTTTAAATAAATGAAGTTCATGAAGTCATTGTTATGATTTATGATAGTACTTTTTATAAACTTAACATTTCTTCTAAGCACCATCTTCCTCTTAAATTTTGTGAAAATAGGACACCATATCTGATATTTACCTTTTAGTAACCTATACCAATATGTTTAAAAATTTTTTGCTTTTTAGTAGCCTTTTCCAAAATGTTTAATAAAAATTTGCTATCTTACTTGCCAACTCTTCCTCTGTGAACTCCTCTACATCATCCTCATCTTCATCAAATCCACTTTTCCAAAGATGGGGACCATAAATATCTGAGTTATTGCTATCCAAGCCTAAAACATCAATGGCTCCAAAGGTTTCTTCTGAGATATCCATATTTTTTGGCTTTACATCACGTCTTAATATATAAAATAAGTACCGGGTAATAAAATATTATTAAAATTAAATAAGTCTATGTAATTTATATTTATAGGCCTAAAAATTATGTAAATCATCTAATAAGCTACCATAATTGTAATTTCAAGTATTTTTATCTAAGGGGATACTTTGTTGTGCATATTTACACTAAGTAAAGACCTTTAAAAGTAGGCCTACTTTATATTTAACATATTATTTTCTGAAATATATTGCAAAATTGTCTCCAGTAGATTCATTCCATCAACACAACAATGGGGTAAATTACCTCAAGAGTGGTACATACAGACCTGTTTACCCCCAAACTCTTAAAATCGTAAAATATCATCACAAAATCGTTTAATATGTTATGTTATATTAAAAAATGAACATACAGTATATACAACTATACACCTCAAAATCGTACATTGTATGCCAAAATCGTAAGAGTAAACAGGTCTGTACATATGAAAATCTTGAGAGTTATGAGAGCTCAATAGATATGATGGTACATAATTTTTTATATTAGAAAGAAGTACATTCTTGAATTCCTTTTTACCGGTACAAAGAAATTTTTTTGCATCTGGACTCTGGACATGTTGCGGTTACTAGTGGCTCAGTAGCTAGCTTAACGTAACTCTAAGTCTTGTCATGTATATGTGTTAATAATTAAATAATGTCATGTAGACTAGAGTGTAGAGTAGAAGGCTTAGTTAGTTTGTTTTTGTCAGAATTGAATTTCTGAATTGAATGGTCTGGTTTTGATACAGTTTGCAGTATCAAACATGATACAGGCTGAGGTTGTATATAGAAATAGGGTATACCTAGAAATAGAAGGGAAAAAAAGAAGAAGGAACTAAAACTAAATACTTTAAATAGTAAAAAGAAACTGTCTCAAACATTAAGTCTAACAAGTTTCCGGGGAAAGTTCTAGTCTGCAGTTGCAGGTACCAGTAATCTCTTGACTTATTTTAAACTTGTTTTTCATACCGGTAACTAATTCACTTATTGGTGAATATTAAAATTAAAATATCGCCATTTTGTTTAAATGCAACAACCATTAAACTTAAACAGATAGTGCGAGATTTTTTGTGTGTTTTTTTAAAAGTACATTTCATATATTTTTGTTGTTTACAGCGCCAGTGTTGTGAGGAGAACTCTTCTGTCTTCAAAGTCAAAGAAACGTTCTAATCAGGGCTGCCACTCACTTTTTTCAAATTTCCCAAGATTTGGTGAACAAATTTCCCAAGATTTCCCAAGATCATACAAATATATAAGAGTTTTTTTTTTTTAAAGGGGGGTTTTCTATGTAATTAATGTAATAATAGATTGAATCAATGCCCCTGAAAAACATGGTATATTAATGGACTGAAATTTATTGAAAAAGACATTTAAAACATGTTTATCACATTAAAAAAAAAATTTGTTTTAAAAAAAATAATTTATAATCCAAAATATCAATACCCACTGGAGTTAGGCTACTAAATATTACCTCCGAATTCTCTGATAAAAATATAATCTACAATACATGTGTAATAGAAGTCACTTGGAAAAAAAAAGCATACAAGGCTAATCAACACAGAATTCCTTTTACAAAGGCAAAAGTTTCTTCATCAAAAAATGATTTTTTATTATTGTAAATCTGTTGATTACAAGTGGGGTTTGCAAAGCAATTAAGCAAAATTTATTAATAATAATTGTAGTTAAAATGGATTGATATTACGATGAAAACAATAAGTGTTTTATTTTTTCTTGTAAAATTTACATTATAACGATTTTTTCACAAAAAAAAAAATACTTTTAAAGGAATTGTTCATTTATAATCCTACAACGTAGGCCTATACTGCCTATACTATTAATATCTTAGTTACCCGTGTTTCAATCCACAAATATTTTTTCTAATTGATGAAAATTAGGCTGGATTTTTTACAGATGCATTATATTTTGAACACATTGTAGAAGTAATTGAAATAATAAAATTCTACTATGGCATGGATTCTTGATTGAACACTATCGTTCACTCTTTGGCTTGTACTGTTTTTCGTATGGTTGCTAATGTCTAAGAGCATAATGATAAAGTTTCCGAGCCTACCCCCCCCCCCATTTAATAAACATTCAAAACCTGGATGTAATTTGTAAATCTTCAATTTTTTTTTTTAAAGAGAAAATTGAATTTTTTTTTTAAATTATTAACTTTTTAATAATTCACAATATTAACTTTAAAATCAGAAGAGTTTTTATTTATTTTATGAGTGGATTTAAAAATTAAAACCAGAAAAGAAAATGAAAACAATTAATTTTTTGCCTTGTTACTTTAAAAATTATTTTGCTTTATTTTTACTTTATTTTTTATCAGATATTGTTGCGTTTTTTTCGAAAAATATAACAAAATTTTCCCCTCAGTTAAGATTTCCCAAGGTTTTGCATGATTTTCAAAATTATTCCCCAGATCCCAAGGGGGGTCGTGAATTCCCAAGACCTTGGGAAATTTCCCAAGGTGTGGTAGCCCTGGTTCTAATGTGTGGCCGTTTGGATGTTTCTAGATTCAAATATTCACAGTATTTTGTATTAAATTTAGTTATATCCTGTTGTCGGATATTTAATTTATAAACCAGTGGGGTTTGACAAATTTAATTATTTAAGTCTCACATATTCTAGGCATCTGTGGAGCCATATTTTCAGGGTCGTGCGAAGGTTGTTATCGCCCGGGACATCAATATCAGGGGGCACATTTTCTATACAGGGCCTACGTGTAGCCTACTGGGGGTTGTAGTTTCATGCTTCTCACACAGGGACGTCATTTTGGGTAGGGAAAGTGGGGCATTCCCCACCCCCTTAAAGTTGCAGGTTTTATTTCAATTGCTATGTACTGTGGCGCCTCCAGTAATGAACAACTTAACAAGCCGACCAAGTTTTGGTTTTGCACCCCCCCCCCCCTTGAAAAAAACCCAACTGAAATGACCCCCCTGTTCTCACAGGGCATCGATTTTCCTTCGCCCTGTCCCGCATCCATTAATAAAATCACGTGTCTAAATTATTATAATTTTTTTTTTTTTTTTGGGGGGGGGGGGAGTGGGCTTGTGGGACGATGTATGTTAAAAAGTTTGAAGTTGTATTAAAAATTTGTGACAATTTCTTTGTCAATAAATAGTTGGAGATTTACAAAATGGTGAAAAGCTGACAAATAAGGAAATATACGGCAGATAAAGCAAAACGAGTCCGCCATGTTATTTAAATCAGTTACACTGTGCCTCATATTAATCGGCGCAAATCAAAGTCAACATAGGTGTCGGCTTTAACTCCCTCCTATCAAGTTAGATATCACTATCACTAGTCCTCTCCATTTTCCTGTATGCCTGCGAATCCTAGACATGAGCAGCTGAACGTGAAAGGAAAATAAAGGCGATGGAGATGAGATGTTTCAGAAGAGTTCTTGGCATCTACTACAGGGATCATATCTCCAATGATACAGTGAAAGAAAGGGTTAGTACGATGACTTAATGGTGGCTGTAAAAAAGCGCAAACTACAATGGTATGGCCACGTGACCAGGAAAAAAGGGCTCGCCAAAGAAATCTTGCAGGGCACCACAAGAGGAGGGTGAAGAAGAGGAAGACAAAGAAAAAGATAGGAAAACAACATCAAAGAGTGGACGGGACTGAAACTAGGCGATGCTGTGAGACGTGCAGAAGACAGAGACGAATGGAGGAGGATAGTTCACATGTCATCTGTGGCGCCCAACTGTCCAAAGACTAAGGGGCATGATGATGATGATCAAGTTAGAGCTAACCAACCATGGACCACTTTATTAAACCCTTTATTTGCCTACTATGAGATGACCCATGAGATGATCCTATGAGGGGTGGCATTGTTGGCAAACTGAAATATGTTTTTTTTTTTTTTCTTGTTTAATTTCGTCGTAGTAGGCGGCAAAATCTCGGTCCGCTCTGGACTGTACTAACCCTCACTTCACTACTGAGACTTTCTTATTCATCCCTATAAGCTGTTACGGTGCGTCAAAGTCACGTGCACCAGCCAGTTACCGTAAATTTGATCGAAAGAAATTTTGTCGACGGTAATTTGATCGAACGTAAATTTGGTCGAATCTTTTTTTTCAATTCACACGTTACAATTTTCGTCAAATTTCTATTTGAACGCACTATATTATATAGTAAAACAAAATAATGCGTTCAAAAAGTAATTTGAAGCAAAATGTTAACGTAAAAGTAAAATCTGTAAAAAGATTCGACCAAATTTCCGTTCGACCAAAGTACCGTCGATCAATTTACCGTCGACGAAATTTCTTTCGATCAAATTTCTGGATACGGCACCAGCCATGTCTCTGGTTTACATCACGTAAAGAAATCACTGGTCCGCCCATTAGTTTCCCTGGTTCGCTGATAACGTGTACCTAACCTAGCCCGCGCATTAGTGTATATTTCTTTAGGCGCACCCCCTCCCCAACCTTTTGCAGAATGTCAACTGCACCCCCCCCCCCAAACCACTTTCCCGAGAAAAATGTGTACAGCAATGTATCGAAATTTACTTGATAAAAAAGACTAATATTGTATTTTTTATAACATTTTAATTTTACAAATTGTAACTGATTCCTTAAACTGATTACAACCAGTGGAACCTTCCGGATACATCCGAACCCACTGAGGGGAAGGGGCGAAAAGCCGAGTATCAGTGTCATTTTAATAAAATCATTGGCCAACGATTGTCAATAACTATACACATTTGGAAATCTAATAGAAAAGAAGAGGGAAAAAAACGCTGACGGTACGGTATATAATTTTATTTTAAAATTTTTTAAACAACTTTTTTGTTCCTGGTATCGGTACAGAAATGTATATGAATCTGTGTAGGGGTGGGGGGTGTGATGGACTGAGGTTATAGGCCTGCCATTAGTTAGCCCTACCATTTCATCAATGTAAGCTGACGCCTGTGGCTCTGACATTAGTGTCTATTTTTACCCTTGTTTTTTTTTAACGTATGATTATTGCTTTTGGCCTGAGAATGGGGAAAAGTGAAAAAGTCTGGCCATAAATCAGCTGAATAGGAATTAAAGAAAAGAAATGAACAACTGATTTTTAAATACATCAGTCTGTTATTGGAGTGTTTTAATGTAGTTAGTAGTACTATCAGGTAAACATGAAGTTTTAAATCTAAAGCGCTTAATTATGTGCTGTCGAAAATGTCGTTAAAATTTCATTTATTGCAAAAAAAATTAGATATTACCAAATTTCATTTAATTGAATTCATTAGCTTACCTCGTCCCTAATCTGGTTGCCGTAGCCGTAGGCTGTAGGCGTAGTACTAGTACTAGTACTAGTGAAGTACTAGTAGTAGTATTAGTATTAAGTAGCCTGGTAACCCCGTAGCCTTACTCACTGACTCGTATTATTATTATTATTTCTTCCAGTAAATACTTCTCAAATATTTTTTTTTTAAACACCAGAATCAGACCTGCCTAAGCCTAAAGTTAAAGCTTTTAACTTACATTACAATTACAATACTTACAACTTACATACATTACATTTGAAAAATTTTAATATTTTTAATTTTAAAATATTTTGGTAAACCCTTATTTTGTACCGGTAGCCTGATAAGTATTAAATAATTCTTTATTTTTAAATTACAGAAGAGTGAAATATGGATAAGGCCCATAAAGAAATTATTCAAAAGAATTTCATGAAACTTGTTGATGAAATCAGTACTCAAGTTGAGCAGGTTACATCATTGCTTCTTAATGAGCATCAAATTATTACAAAGCGTATGTGGGAGGATGTTGTTCAGGTAGACACTACAAATATTTTAGGTTAATTGTTTCAGCTAATTCATTTTCATTTATGATTGGGGTAAAATTAATATTAAACTATAAGTCATGAATGAATCCTGTTTCATTCAGACACAAAACGCTTAATCTAATGTAATAAAATTATGGTAATCTGCCACTTGAGCGTTGGCCAAGGAAAATTCCAGTTGTTACTATTGATAATTGGATGTGCTATTTAAACAATTATTCTTTTATCGATAAGACCCAAAACGATGGAAATGTTTTTTTATGACATTTCAGCACATATATAATACAAATAAAATGCTAGACATGCATAACAAAATTAAAGATAATGTATGAAAATGAAATTATTCATAGTTTTCCACCAAAGTGGCAATGAAGTGTTTAAAAATATAATTTATGCCACAGCCACGAAAACAGTTGCGGAACATGAACCCGTGTAAATAGGAAGGGAAACGCTCTCGGCTGGTACTTAACTCTTTTCATTTTGCGCACTATCATCATCAGCACTGTAAATAGAATTGGAACTGTTAACAGACATCAGTAGTATAAGAATACTTGTTTTTAAATAGCACTTCAGATTGCTTCAAACCGGAACAACTGGATTTTTCCTTGGCCGACGCTGAAGTGGTAGATTACCAAATTTATTTGATCCTGCTCCTCACCTAAACGGCATGATTTATTAATTTTTTTTAATTGGATAGTGTTTCAAATCTATTGTATTGTAATTGTAAGATGAAAGCGAGAGTTGTGTTTTGTTTTATTTCAACATGTAAATATAACATTTATTTATTTTTTGTTTCAATGCATTCTTCTGCTACTATCAACAGGCAAACAACACACTTTCTCGTAAAGCAGATGCACTTTTAACTTTACTCTTGACAAGAGGACCTCATGCTTTCAATGCCCTTTATGAGGCTGTTAAAACAGCAGAGCTCAATGGTGCTGCAGATATTTTAATGCCTCAAAATGCTCCTCACTGGAAGAAACCTGATGTAGACAGTTAACAGCTCAAGAAAGTTAGGAACCAGATAATGTTAGCATGTAATTAATTTAAGTTACCACTGATTCCATGTTGCCTAAAGTCTAAACTGTTAGGGGAAAGGATATGAATTTTTCAAGATTAGTTGCTTTTTTTATGAATTGAGTTACTGTATTTAATATTTTGTTTGCAAAAAATTTTTATTTGCAGTGAGCATTAAATATTCATAAAAATAATCAGATGATCTTTAAACTTTAATTAGTTTTTAACTCTTGATTTCTGACAGGTTCTTGCGTTTTTATAAACCCTGAAAAATAATCTTCAATCTTTATTTGAGTGTTTCTACTGAGTACCGGTACACTTAATTTCTCTGTGAGATTGTTATAATGTTGCTAATACCCGGTAGTGGTACTAATATTGTTATCCTGCCTTAAATACTTTGTTAAATTTTTTTTTACAATTTATTGCTGTGTATTATTTAGCTGAATGTGAACATTTGACAGATGGCTTTTTTCTGCACCAAAGGTAATGTTAAAATAATAATTAACACATTCCTAATCATAACACAGCCGAAACAGTAAAGGCTTATTTTTTAAGGTCTGATTAGTAATTATCCTGATATAAATAGTTCATCTTTGATAGGAAATAAACATTACTTTATAATGTTTCAGATTTTTTGGCATAGACCATTTATTTTTTATTATGTACGGTACAAGCAGTTTGTTACATAAATACATTTTAAACTAGTTAACAGTTACAGCCTTTCACATATTGGTCTCAAGAGCTGCAGGTGTCATGACAAAATAATTCTCATTATAACTTATAACTGTTTATAGAATTTTTACCATTGTTTTAAGTGTGCCATACTGAATTTGTGACGGATGATTTTAAAGGTTGTTGAATCATTATTTTTCCCTTTAAACTCTCTTAACTGGCAAGTATTACTTTCTTTTCTTTATACATATTTTAAATACCTTACTTTTCTCAGCATCATATCAGTGTAGTTTTAATCTGTCACTGCATACACATTTATGAAGTGGAAATATCAGAAATAAACTTTTTTTGTAATACTTTTAAACATACTTTTTAGCTTTCCAAGTTGGTGTAAGTTGTTCAAATTTAATTTCTCTGCACATTTTATTTGAAAGAATTCCAACCCCAATTCATCACAGGCTTAAAACGCATATTAATTTCTTTTTAGTATTAATTCCATATTCATTGTGAAATGCTGATGTAATTAATTTTTTTTATGTGCCATATTTATGTCAATCTGTTCAATGTATATGTAATTATAAATAACTTTTAAAAAGAAATTGTTTTTGACTGGACTAAAAAATATTTGCCTATAATTTTAACCAAACATATAATTTAAATTTAATATAAAATAAAATGGTATTGTTAATTTTTTATCTTGGTCTTCAAATTCATTAAATTTATAAAGTTCAAGGGGACCATCTTGATATCAGTATGCTACTGTTTTACCTATGTAAAGGTCTAGCATTTAAATACTACCCATGCATTTAAGGTACCAGTAAAAGGTAAAAAAAAAAAGTCACCCGGCTGGGTTGACGTTTAATTTAAAAATGAAGAAAAAATAAATGTTCCGAGCGAAAAAAAATTATGGTACCATTATTTGTTTGAGTTGCCCTGGTAATAGTATGAGTTGCCCTGGTAATATTTTGAGTTGCCCTGGTAATAGCATGAGTTGCCCTGGTAATAGCATGAGTTGCCCTGGTATTAGCATGAGTTGCCCTGGTAATAGCATGAGTTGTCCTGGTAATAGCATGAGTTGCCGTGGTAATAATATGAGTTGCCCTGGTAATAGTTTGAGTTGCCCGGCAATGTTTTTACTTTGATGTAAGGAAAATGTGACAGTGATGACAGTTAACAACTATTTTGAATAAGTATACGGGCCTAGTATTTCAATAGTAAATGTATGATATTTATACACATAGGAATATAGGCCTACCATACGTCCAGGTTTGACTTTGTCAAAGCTGGTCTAAGTTTTGTCCTGTTTTCAAACACAACTTTGGTAGAAATGAATTTGTCATGACTCATTTAGACAGGCATGAACATATTGTTCATTTCAGAAATTGGTTGGTAATAAATGTCATGTTAAATGTAATTGAGCTAAGAAAATTCTATCTAAACGTGTAAAGACTAAAATTCTAAGCTTGCATCGGTTTACATTACAAAAAGTGCCACAGTAAATTTCAGGTATGTTTGAATATGAGACCTAACTAAATGTTCCACCTGCAACCTATGACCTCACCCCCTATCTATACTATAAGAAGAGAGAAGTAATTTGATAAAATTTGCAGTAAATAATCTCCCTTCCCATGACTGAATTTAATTCCCTATCTCCTAACTGCTAAGAGATTTTGGTCAAAATAAAAAAAAAAAGGCATTTTAAAAAAAAATGAGAAATATGAAAGTATGTAAAGGCAATCTCTCCCCAAAAACTAAAAACACACCATGTAGCTTTTCACCCCTTCTCCCAGTGTCGTATCCAATTGCCTCGTTCTCTTCTTTCGAGAAATAAAACCTGAGCAGGAAAGAAATGAAAACCGAGCAGGAAAGAAATGAAACCCGAGCAGGAAAGAAATGAAGCCCGAGCAGGAAAGAAATGAAACCCGAGCAGGAAAGAAATGAAACCCGAGCAGGAAAGAAATGAAGCCCGAGCAGGAAAGAAATGAAGCCCGAGCAGGAAAGAAATGAAATCCGAGCAGGAAAGAAATGAAGCCCGAGCAGGAAAGAAATAAAGCCCGAGCAGGAAAGAAATGAAGCCCGAGCAGGAAAGAAATGAAACCCGCGCAGGAAAGAAATGAAAGCCAAGCAGGGTCCATCCATAGATGATGTCACTCATAAATTGTCCAAAAAAATCATCAAAAATTTATCACAAAATTTAGACACCCTCACAATACATTGACACATAATCGTGTCCCCTCCCCCTAGATTAGTGACGTTATTCGCGGATGGTATCTTACCTCAGAACGTTAGAATATATAAATAAATAACTCATTAATATAGTAGTTAGAATACTACAAAGAAGAATTGCTGGCTTTGTGATAATTTTTTTTTAAAGCCAAAAACATGAATAATTTAGCGTGCATTAATTTGCGTATAAGCACACTGGAAATATTTCTAAATTCTTGAACATGTACAATAAATTAAATATACAGTCAGTCGATCAGTCGTACTAATCACATGTAACGCAAATATTTAGGCCAGTTTCATTTTACTATACTATAATGTTACTTAATAATGTCGTATGCCGTATGCCGTATGCAGGTGTGTTAGTGTTAAGGATGTTGAATGGTCCTGATTTCGTCTTCTGTCTGAGTAAGTTTTATTTCGAACCCTTCGTCCACCATTGGCCTAGAACAGGGGCTCTAATTACTCTTAACCTTTTTTTAAACAAAAATTCCATAGGCCCCATTGTCAGTCAGAGGAAGGCCAAGAACCTCTTCTTAGGATTTAGTTCTTAATGCATATAAAAAAAAAAATAAAAAAAATTACAAAAGAAATGCAGCTTGCAGTCCCTTTAAAACTCATTCACGGACACCAGCCCTAGAAAATGTGACTGGTAATGGTAATTCATAAAAATATAGCAGGTGTTTAAAATAAAAGGCCGGATTTCCCTTTAAGTATAAGGCCAGCCTCAGCCTAGGGCGCAGCAGTCTTGGGGGGGGGGGGGGGGGGGGCGTTAAAAAAAAAAAAAAAAAAACAATATTTATTTTTGTAAAAAAAACAGTATTATTTTAAAGTTAATATAAAATGCTGTCGTAGTGCAGATTTTCATTAAAAAAAATAATTTAGCTCAAAGTTTATAAAGATTACATTATATAATTGCTAGTTGTAGCTCGCAAAACATTGAGCAACAGCAAAGCGTGAACTTCCCATCTGATGATCTACTAAAGTTACTTGGCAAAACATGGACTCAAGTAACAGTTTTAAGAACCCCAATTTTTGCTACACCACTTGCCCACGATACGTTACTGCACACTTTTTATTTAACGCCCATGAACTGTATTAATAATCTGATGTCCTAACCACTTTAAACCGAATATTAATTACCCCTAATTTAAACTGAGACTGAGACGGTTTCATTTTGTGAAAATAAAATATTACGCACCAAACGCAGTTGCGTTATTAAAAAAAAAAAAAAATCATTTCGAGTATTTTACTAATTTTTGAGAATTATATTTTGCGGGTTATCGGAAAATGGAAGCAGTCACAAAACAAACAAAACGTATATTGTAAGAGATGTTTCATAAATAAACTATTATATTATATATTAAATTGGAAATTATAAATCAAGTTTTAAAAAAAAATCTGTACTGGTATTTTGTTTGTTGGTTGTTTTTTGTTGTTGTTGGGGGTGTGGGGGTTTACAGGATTTTGTGCTTAGGTGTAAAAATGTTTAAATCTTGGCCTGGTAATACAAAGCAATGAGTCATGGAAATTTCCCATATTACTTGGTCACATTACGGTGTTGGTGTTACATCAAAATTATCCCACAGAAGTATCTAAAAAAAAATTTGTTCGAACGGAGAGGTTGGGGTGAGTTGAACAGGGGATTCAATTAACTGTATGCTAGTATATAGTTCTATCAATAAAATATAAATTAATAATCGGAAGGGGGGGGGGGTATTTTTATGTCTTAAAATTTTATGTCGTAGTTCTTATAAATTGTTAAAATAGGCAAAAGCCTTAAAAAGGGTCTAACATTTTTTTTAAGCAACATTTTCCATGTTAAAGAAATACAAAAATGTCCTCTAGTAGTTCTCCGTATTCCTGATTAAGGCAAAAAAAAAAGAAAAAAAAAAGATATTATTGTGACTAAAGGAATTCATCTATTGTTGATTTTCTAGGCTAGAGAAATAATTTAGATAGTTGTCTTGGTTTTGAATATTTAAAAGTTTGTATCGGATGTATTTAATGATGTGCTAAAAATGAATATGTACAATGTAATCAAAAAAATATTCAATTATTTGGGATTAACAGAGAATCTCTTAGCTTATTTAAAGTTACCTCCCCTTTCCGAAGGTAAAAAAAAAATTAAAAAAATGAAAGCTTCAATTCCCAGAAACGCTATTTTGCCTGTTTGTAAATTGTAGGCCTAATCCCTATCGGCGCTCGTCTAAGATTGGCTTGCTGTAATTGTAGGCCTACGTCTAAAAACAGAGCCGTCGAGTGGGCTCATCCATCCCTGCGGCTGCAGAGGGCCTCAGATGTCTAAAAGCCCAAAAACTGCGGGGGAAAAAAAACTGAATTGTTTACTATCAACATTGAATGCAAGGGTAAAAAAAACAACAAAACACACAGGGGGGTGGAGGCACAAAACCGACAATTTGCAAGGGGGAACCTAGAGTTCACGCGACAGCTTTGCTGATGGGCAGCCTGTGGCATTTAGAAACAGAGATTGATTAGAAATGTATATGTAATTATTAGTAACTAATAATACCTTTGACAAGTATTTTTCATACGGCACCCAGTAAGTCATTTCTTATGAATGGCCTAACAAACTTGAAACTGAGAAAGTACACGCGTTACGACTGGATCTGATTTTTAAACTAATAATAGTGAATGGTCTGTAGCCAATATGAACACGTTATAAGGGCACACCAATCCAGCGTGTAGCCTACGCGCAGTTGTAATGACAGTATACTACTATACGGGAGCGAGACATGGACCACCTATACATCCCAAGAGCGCAAGCTTAATAGCTTCCATATGAGATGCCTGCGTCGCATCCTTGGTATTAAATGGCAAGAAAAAGTGACTAATAGTGAGGTCCTAATGCGTGCGAATACCCAAAGCATGTTCACAATCCTTAGTGAAAGACGCCTGAGATGGCTAGGTCATGTTAAAAGAATGAGTCCCGGCCGCATTCCGAAAGACCTCCTATATGGTGAACTTGCTGC